TGCTTCTCCGAGAGGAACCGATGCGGCATCACGCGATGCAAATGAATGAAGGGGGGGAAAAAAACTCGTGAGAAAGGATTTAAAAGAGGCCGGAGGAGCCTGGAAGGGTTTCCCTTCCTCTTTTCACCTCGCCTGCAGACCCCGTTAGACCCGAATGATCGGGGGTCTCCGAGGGCCCAGGCTGTATTTTGGGCAGTGCTACCCCAATAAATCAACAAGAAGCGGATAATCTGGGAGAGAAGAATGGCCGTGTTTGCCGTCAACGTGTCCAAGCAAGAAGCGGAGGAGATTTTCTCCCCCCCCCCCCACTTCCCCCTCCCCCTCCCCCTCCCATCCTCCGATTCAGACCTGGAGGGCAAAAATAGGGATGTTCCCCCACGGTGAATTATCGCCTCCTTCGTGTACCCCCCAGGCCCAAAGCAGACGGAGCGCTCCGGTTCCATGCACTCTTCTTTCCCCGCAGACCAGCGATTTCCCTGGACTCTGCGCCTACGAGAGGCTCCCCAGAGAACCCCACACCGACCCCGTGCTTTACCCCGAGGTCGGATCCGGTTTAAAAGTCGACGCACGCGAAGAAGCCGCAAATAAATGTATGCACCCTCGAATCCACCGAACGCGACGATGCTCCACATACCCAACCTCGGATTTTAATTGGAATTTTTTTCCTCTCGTCGACACCTGCTCCCATCCCCGCAAAAGGGTTCCTGAAGAAGGAAATTCCTCTCGGGACCAGTCCGGCGAGTGCTTCTGCGTAATTAGTTACATGTGGCATGGCAGAAGCCCCGTTAGAGAGAAGACTTCTTTTCTCTTCTTTTTTTTTCTCGTGTTGACACCTCAACTCTTGAATAATGGCTCCTCGTTAAAATTCAGGGCGATGCTCCGTCGATAAACCTGCCTCTCTTCCTTCGTCTTCGTCTTCTTCTTCTCTCCTTGTTTATGATGAAGGCTGGAAGGAAAAGAACTGGTGCAAGAGAAAACAAATGGGTGATGAATGGACTCCGCCCTCCCGCCGTTTATTCCCCCAAACAGGTTGCAAAATATTTTCAACCCGAGGCTTTGGTGCTCTATTGCCTTTCTTCTTTTTTCTTTTCCCCTCTTCTGCATGCGTCATGAGGTTTCTTCTCTTTTCTGCCCGGTAAACTACCTGTCAACCCTGAATGGCACCTGCAGGGCATTAACCCATGAGATCATAAACAATAAATCTTTTCCCGGGATGATGATGGGTTTCTGGCGTGTTCTCCATTCGATGAATGCAGTACTGGGTGTATCTGCAAGTACCGGTACTCGAGGGGGTTCTCATACCTGCACTTATGTACTGGGACTTCGGTCGGTAACCGGTTAAGAGTGGATCTTCTTCCATGGCCCTGAGGCCAAGAAGCCGACGAACCAAGAAAGCCAGAAAGGTTAAAGCCAGAGATGAACACAGCTTATACATAATTGCTCACACACCGATTACTTCTTTTTTCTTATTCGCCTGGGTAATATACGTTGCATATTCATGAGAGACTTCAACGCCGGTATGACGAAGAGGAGACCTGGCCTTGTGAGTGTGCGGGACGGAAAAACCTCGTTTCCGGATTAAATGGGCGTTTTCTCTTTTCCTTTTCGTTGACTCTTGTCACAAAGGGTGGAGTCATATCGCTGTAGATTAGTCTAAGTGGCGTGTTTTCTTTTTTCCCATCTAAACTTCGTGGGTGTCCCCCCCACGAGCTCCGCTTTTCTGACGTTTCTTCCGGTATAAGTTTGAGAAATAGTTCAAAGGGAGAAGGGAAGAAACGGTTTGGCGGGCGTGTGAAAGGGACCACCCGGGTAGAGGGACAGAGAAAAGTGATCGTAATTGAGAAAATGACCCGGAAGGTCTCGCTCGTAAGGTCGTCTTGTAACTGTAACGATCCGACCGCGAAATACCCCAGGAAAAAAAATAAAGAGGTGACAAGTGGTGTCACAAAGCGATAAAGTCCGTTCTCGTTTCCTTGACCTGGCTCGGTGTTTCCCATGAACTCGGGTCGTTCTCGCTTCTTTGTTACATCCGGTCGTATCGGTGACGATAAGAGAGGAATTTCACCGGCGGGTTTCCCCTTTTTTGGTCCTGAGAAACCGGGACTACGCCCTCGGAACCGGCAATTTCAGGGGAATGGAATCCCTCTCATCATTAGCTGTCTCTCCTTTATCATTGCGTGTGTGTACATACAAGAAAAAACAGAGCCATTAGAGGTAAAGGGGCTCTGGGTGAGTGGATTTCACGGGATGATGCGACTGCGAGAGCGTGGGAATTGCATGGATTGCAGCAGGGGGTTCATTAACTCTTAAGAAACTCTTATTCCCTTCCCTCGGGGGCATTACTGTCCCTTTTTCCTTCCTTGTCTCCAGGGTCGTGAGATATCTCTAATGACGTGTATCAACCCGTAATCTACCCTCGTCTGACCTTGAGAATCAAAACCGGAATGCCAGCCGCAATTTGACTGGCAGGAAGTTCTGCCGGACTTCATTCCTCAACAAGAAGAACCTGTACCTGAATCCACTTCTTTTTTCTTCTTTTTTTTTACCGCCATTTTTCTTTTGTCTCGTGGGTGCTTGATGACTACACGAACCTTCCATCAGGGACACGAATCCCCTCTTTGCACTTACGAAGTTGAATCTCCTTTGTGTGTGTGTCCTTCCGTGCCAATGCACCGAGGAGAATCGGTTTTTAAAAATTAAATGCTCTGTCAAGCAAGGGAGGGAAAAAATGGAGTGGATGTAAATGAAGCAGCTCATTAGCCTCTGAGTCGCCCCTGATTTGTATGCAGGCATCATTTCCTGACCCTCATATCTCGAGACGTTAATTCAAATCACTTCAATCCGATATCTTTGAAGGGGGAAAAAAAACGGAGACAAAGAAGTCGGCAGAGGTCCACTCGCAACCCGTGTAATGCCTATAATTGCCCCCTGAAATCGGCGTCTAATTCAAAGAGCCATTGAAATTCCCTTTCTTTTATTTCTGTAGGGCTGTTGGATGAGAGGGAAAAAAAGTATCCGTTTACAATGCACTTCTTTTTACAACCTACGGGGTTCTTCATTCATGGTGACTGGGTGGGCAGAGAGAGAGAAAAAAAACGGTCGTCTGCGATGGGTGGGGTTTATTGAGAGAAACACCGGCTATTCTCGCATACAAGGCCGAACCGGAGACCTTTTTTCACCTCTGTTTTATCCCCGTTTATGTACAATATAGGGCTCGTCGAAGCGAGTGGATTGGTTTACGGGGGCTCATGGGGTTCTCGAAAACTTCTTTTTTTTTTATCTTAGAAGATACACCGTGAAACAATGGCCAACCTCATTCCATCCATCTTGGGAATTTGACGCAACGCCTACCCTGACAACTCTCGCGGGTCAAAGGTGAAACTCGCCGTGGCGTGAGAAACTAAGCAGTACTCCTTCGCTCACAAAAGGATTTTTTTTTTATTCCCCGAGACGAAATAGAAGCAGAAAATGAGATTACTTTTCACCAGAAAGTCAATCACGGGCCTGGGGGAGCGGGAACCCGTATTCGTCACTGGTATGTTGGGATTCCTTAGCGAGGGATTCCGCGATGGATTTCCGGGCCTTTTGGTCCCCGAAGATGAGATAGAGGTTGTTCCTCTGTTTTGGCACTTCACTGCATTTGATGAAATTCGGAGGTCGGGCCGGAAGGGGAGGCGGAGGCGTCACGCTCCTCTCCCTCGTCATTCCGTACATGATCTCTTCGTAGACGTGATAGTCACATTCCGCCTCCTCTTCTGCTGCGGCTTCTTCAAAACGGTTCCTTTGGTTTCTTTGTGCACTGCACACACTGGAGACCAAGTCCTCGATGGAGAAGATCGCGTTGCTGCCGTGCAGGTTCGTCGACGTCTCCCATTTCTTCAACGACTTCGATCCTAAAGGACAAAACATCATCGTTCATCTCGTTTCGGCCGTTCATTACCGGGACAAAGACTGATCGATTCTCATTCTCCTTTCAAGGTTATCGTGTTAGGGGCAGCGAAGAGAGAGAAAAACTCGGGTCGACCCGACGGTATGATTTACTGGTCATTTATTTCCGGCCGCGTCCGTTAGATGCAGTCAGCCCCGAGCAGTGCATTGATCTCATTCCTTTCCTTCCAAGTACTAGGCAGGACACAAAGGCAAAGACAACAATACCCTGCTCTGACAAATCCCTTCGAAATTTACGGTCTCACTCCACCCCCATCCATATGGGGATGCAGGCAATTGTTCCCAGGAATAATTTACGGGCCGAGATGCAGACGCAAGACAAGGACATCTCCCCGAATGCACGAAAGCGGGGTGGGAAGGAAGAAAAAGAGGGGAGGGTGTTTGATAGATGGGTGTTTACCTCGGTTCTCCCCTCGGGTTAACAGATGTCCATGGTAATACCAAACCGTATTTGTATGCATAGCCTACATGGAAGGGAGGAAAATGTCACTCTTTCACTCTGCAGGACACGATATTTACCTGCGGATGCAGATGACGATAGTCGAAAGCTGCATCAGAGTCAGCGACTTCATTTCATTACGGTAACCCGGAGTGCAATGGAACGATTGGTCTGCCATCGATGGGAGTTCGTTTCGCTCGAGACCAAAAATTTATTGCTTATGCATTCCTCGAGGAAGGAAAGGTAATGAAAAATTCACCTGCTGCGTGCATTTCCTTACGTGCGTTTCTTCATACTTTTACGATATGAATTCGAGATGCGTGGAGGTACTGACCTGAAGGAACGTCGTCGGGCCTGGGAAGAGGTGGATGGGTTTTGCCATACAGAAGAGTGTCGATTTCCTCCTCTAACATGGGCATGGTTCCGTCTTCGGGTGGGGTATCGCGAAACCTCCGTCTTAACCCCTCACATAACCTGTCCCTCAGGATGGGTTTCGTTTTGGACTTAAAACTCGGTAGAACCTGCTTCTCCTCGAGATCATCCGAGTCCACTTTCGGATTGAACCGAACCATCTTGGACGAAGCCATCTCTGGCTTCTTCGGGGGTAGACCGAGGTCAAGGGGAATGACCTTGCGCCGCAATTCCCCTTTCGGGGGCAGCGGAGGTTTCATCTCCAACGGGGTCACCAGGTACGGTTCCACATCCTGCACTGTCTTCGTCGTCGTGGTCTGTTGAATGGCACTCGCGAGGGTCTGTTTGAAAGCGGAGAAATCGTCGAGAGACGATCGACACATGACCTTGGTTCCCATCGGGATCCGCGGTCGGGGTCCATGACCTTGCCCTTGAGGACCCTGTTCGGCGTAAGAAACGAGGTCCGGTGTGGGGCAGGCACTCTTGTAACCGGAGTCGATGGAACAGGACCCGGCATAACCGGACGAATCCTTCTCGGCATAGAAGTCGTCGGAATCGAAGTCTTCGATCACGCTGATCGTTTCCAGTAACGGGTTATCCACGTCCGGATTCCCCCCTTTCGAACGGGGCTTGCAGCCGCTACGATCACAAAAACAGCCGTAGATGTCTTCGACACTGAACGAGATGTCCATCTGACGCCCTCCATTGCCTAATAGCACCTCTGGACTCGTCATTTTCTCCTCCGGACCTGTCGAATGCAGTCAAGTTCAACAATCTGCAGATTCACATGCACGCCAATGTTGTATTAGAAAATGTTATGGACGACGGCTTCGAAAAACAAAAGAGAATTACTAAGGATTCTTGAAAAGCGGGATGACGTCTCATTTATACAGGATGTCCGACTTTCACGCTGATGAAGGAGCCTGTGCCTGTGTTAATGACCTGGAGGTCACTTGGTATCGCATGAAATTGTTTCATGCTTATCTAAAATCTGAACGAGAACTGACTTCTGATGACTCCATCAAGTCGCCAGACCGCATGCAAAGTGCTTGCTTTTCTCACCTGAGATCGTCAGAGCTGGAAGACGATGACGAGCATGACTCAGCGGGGAACGTAAGTATTCGTGGTAGTAAGTCACAGCAGGAGATAAAGCCGAGCGGAGGATGCTGACCCTATCGCGACAGGAGCTAGAGAGAGACTGACGTGAACGGGCAGCCAGCCGGGAAACCGGGAGGCTGGCCACCGAGGGGCGGGGGGGGGGGGGGGGGGGGGGGGGGGACCCCCCCCCCCCCCCCCCCCCCCCCCTCCTGCCCCCCTCCCCCCCTCTCCAGGGACAGACATGTCCGTGCAAGAAATGTGGTGAAGATGAGTGGCAGTTGCTGTTGTATTGTCACGCGTACGAGGGTATAAGTAATGAATCGACTTCAGAATTGATGAGAAAGATGAAACGTTCAAGAGATTTCAAGAGAAATAGGGTTAGATTCGGGAAATCGATCGAAGAAAAGGGGGAACACGCAGAAAGATCTTCAGCGAAAGTGCTAAACCTCAGAACGAAATGAAATGGGAAGCCACAACAGTTCATCACGATTCCAATTCCCACGAACCCCCCTAAGCCACATCAAGCCACATCAAGCCACAACTCATCGCAGAGCTTAATAAAACCCACGCAGGAAATGCTCGATTGCTTCCGCCGTCCATGCGTGATTCCTCCGTGAGACGACACAAAAGGCGTCCTGGACGAAACAAAGGGTGTTCTGGACCCCATTCATCCCCGGGAAATTATCTGGGCCGACGCCGAGTTGACGCGAGTTTACCGAGAAGGCCGACGATTCAGACGAGCAATATCTTTTATATGTACATATATATATATGTATACCGGACGATGCCATTGTATGCACTCGCGGTAAGACACAAAGGGAAAAGGAAAAATGACTCCGAAGGAGACAGTGCTTTCCATTGAATGATAAAAAAGCCCCGACGTTGCATTCCGATCCCATGCCGTGGTCGGGATCACAATCACACCCGAGTTCGTTTTTTTTTTCTTTTTTTTTTTTAAGCGATGACCTCGGCGGGGATGCCAGGTGGCGGGTCCTTTTTTTATTTCCCAGGACCTGGCCGTAATTGCTTTTATGACGGGGCGATATAGGGAGAGGGACGTCAATGACAAATGCCGCCCTATTTAGCCCCCACATGGCCCCTTCCACTTCCTATAATTACCCCCTAAAAAAAAAAAAGAAAAAAGTTTTTTTTTTTTGCCCCTGCAGGGACTTGTGGGGTCGCGGAAAGGAAAGGATCCTTTCTTGAGCATTGCGTGAATTATCTGCGGAGTGTCTTTGACCCGAAGGTAAAACCTAATTAGGTCGATAAAATTAACCATTTCTTCGCACGCTTACTTCCATTTGAGTTCGTAATAAATTTTCTCGTCGCTTTTTCCAACAAAAAAATAATAATTGGAACGAGGCAGTTTTTTTTTGTCTAATTTATCTCTTTTAATTGGGTCGAGTTTTTCAAGGAAATTTTCTCGTTCGAGCTCAACTGATTTTCTTTTAAATTACTTACCGTGATGATTATTATTATTATTTGTATTATTATGGAAAATGAGCTTTCTCATTTCCCCAGATTTTCGTCTCGACGCGCGAATTTTCCATCCCTCACAACTGGGTGGGCGCGGCCAATATTTGCATAAAAAAGGCTGTCTCTCCCTCTAATTTCCCGGTAGGTGATTAAGGAATTTGAGGGAATTAACATAAATAATTAAATAATTTAAATAATTTCAAGTGAAGTGACGGAAATTTGTCACGACCGAGACCGGCCTCGCGTTTTCAACCGATTCGCCTTGAAAATTCCAGTTTCGAGTCGAAACACGTTTCCTTCTGTTTATTTCACTTCTGTTTCGTCGGATAGGCCAAACCGAATCCCGTCAATTCCTTTGTCAATTAGTCATTTAGCAGCCGATTTCGTGGCGCAAATGACGCGGAAGCGAATCGCCGATATTTTCGCTCCGGATAACTTGCCGAAGTTTGCCGTCTAATCGCGCAGATTAAAACGGATTCAAGGGGCCACCTCCCCCCCCCCCCCGCCGTCAACGCATCGAGCGGAAAATCTGATGCAACGTTTCTGAGCTCTCTGACCTGATTTTTTTTTTCTCAACCGAAAACGTAACCTATCCTCTTACTAAGTAAATGCCGACCGATAGGTAGGAAACTACACCACAGAACATATCCCTGGGAACCTCATTGTTCCCTCGGTCCCCCCTCTTTTTTTTTTATTACGTATTGTTTATATAATAAAAGGAGACGGGGTTCCGGACCCCCACGGACCCCGAATGATTTCCATACCGAGGGGGCTGCTGTCGCTTCCAGGCCTCGCGGTCGGTGAGAGGACGGCGAGCGAACACGCCCATGCGAAGCGGTCGACCGCAGGTCCTCCGTCGTCCTCGGTCGCCCTCAGTCGTCCTCGGTCGTCCTCCGTCGTCCTCGGTTGTCCTCCGTCGCCCTCGATCGTCCTCGGTCGAGAATTCCTTCGGGGTCGCTTTCGCCCGTTCGACACCGCGTGAAGGCCGTTTTCGAACCGGTTCCGAGATGAGGCTCGCGCCCCCGCAGAAAAAACAAATGGGGCCAGGGCAAGCGTCGACTCGATGGCAATCACGCTGGAAGCCCCCAAAACAACGCTCGCTACTGCCATCTATACGGGAAGGGTGGAGTTGCGAAGTGCGATCCCTTCCGCCTCCGTGTCGCTAGCGTGCAACGAGGAATCCCTCGCTTTCACGATCTCATGCGGAATGGAGAAATTTGGATGGGGATCCCAATATTGATGTCTTTTAAAATGATCCCAGTAGCACACCATTGAGCCGATATCGGTCCGACGTTGGACCGATATCGCGACATTTGGCCGATCTTGGGACAAATTAGTCCGATGTCGCTCGAAAGGAAAAATTGACGGGAAAAATATTCGTGAATCGTGATCCCCAAATTCTCGCCTGAACCAGTCGGTTTCGGTTTATTTACTTTGACCTCAAAGTGTATCATTTGCGATTGGCTTTCTGAACCTCAGGAACCATTTGCGACAGGAAAATGACTTTTTTTTTTCTCTTCGGCTCCTCGATCCCATCACAAAAACCGCCAGAAGAAATTTTCTGAATTCATCGCTTCACGCAATCGTTCGTTGAAATTTTCGACTTAATTTTAAATTTTAAGAATAAGTAATCAACTTCGACGAGATTCCCGGAGCGTCTCACTTGAAATTTCGTTTTTTTTTCTTTTATCTCTTTCACTTTTGCCAGCGATCAGGCTAATCCAGCTAATCCCTAAATATGAGAGGAATCTCTGGCGGGCGCGTGAAAGGCTTCAGGAAAACCGAAATCAAACAGCATTTAAGGATTTGCTTTCGTTCGACTTTTCCACATCCAATCGTGAGGTTGCACGAACCGATCACGACTCGTCTAAAACCGTGAGCCGCTCACGGTCCTTTCTCACTATTTTCGATTCGTCGAATTTACGTTTAAAAAAAAATCCGTCTATGAAATGGAAAATGATTAATCCGGTAGGGAATCCGAGGATGAATTATTCCTACTTTTAAATTATGACTTTATATTTTTAATTTTTAGTTGGCATAAGCTTAAGCCTTCGGGTCGTCCTTCCCGTGCGGAAGTAGACCCTCTACAGCAAATGCAAATTTACCTTCCCCTGCCTCACCTTAGATATTTTAACCATCCAGTAACATTCTTGTGGATGTAGTTGTACAAACCTGCAGAAGCGTACCCAATTGGTGTGGAGGCTTAGGGGGCTCCCCTTTCCCCCCTTCCCCCCTTCCCCCCCTTTGCCCTTCAGTCCCTGGGAACTCTTCCTTCCATCGTCCAGTCTCGTTGCACTTCTCCCATTTCTCTTGCATTCTGCTGCCTTAGCCCATTCAGCCCCGAATAATTTTCTGTATGATTTTAAGGCTTTTTTTCACGAAAACATTAATAATGCCATCAAATATGCAAATTAGCTTCTAATTTAGGTTTATATTGATTTAAATAGCAGTAACATGCTAAAAAACTAAGTGGTTGCTACAGGTACAACTGGTTTTGCAAGGTCTGGGTGGATCTCCTTCTTCAGGACAAGTGCCTCGTGAATGTGGGTGAAATATGCGTAAAATAATTAAACATCTGTTTTCAGTCCCTGTGCTCTTTTGGGTAAGAAGTGAGCGAAAAGATTAATGCTGAGCTTCCGTCCCTTTCTATAGTATGGCATGACAGAGATTATTTGCATATCTCAAATGCTTATTCCATAATTGGGCCTTCTCTTTCACAGATCGCTTGTTCTTGGTTTGGTTTTGTACGTGAGGTTTTTGACAATCTTCTGGTTCTCTTTATTGACGTTCGAGTGATTTCCGTCGAAGAGGAACTGAGAACGCATAGCGAACACGAAATCGCGACGGAATGGGCGAGAGAAATCCGGCAACCCTGGCGCTCATGCGACCTCGCTCCAGTGTATGGCGGCCTCGAGTGGTGTCGCGTGTCGGAGGCAAGGTCCCGGTTCCGAGAGGTGAGTCCGTCTTGATTCGCTCGGAATTAGCACTCGGTGGAAGTTGCAAGGTATAAATGAGGAATGGAGGGGGATTGATCGAATTTGGTGCAGCTCGGTCGGCCGGGGCAGAACCGGTGGGTCGTTACTCGTTGTACAAGGAAATGCTCTCGAGGGTGGAGGGCAGTAATTCATTTTTTTTGCTTCCTGTCTCGGGCTGGCTTTTCCTTATTCTCTGCTCTCTTTCGAGTCGATTTTTGTCGGATACCGACAAACGATGTACTCGAGGGCGAGTCCATTTTGTCGAACGCGAGAGTGGTGGAATCTCCGCAATGTCGAACGCGATCGTTCCTCGAACGGACTGAACTCGGCCACAAAAATGTTGATTTCGTCCGGAAAGGGTAGAAAACGTGAACGCACGACATGCTCGCACTCAAACGATCCATGCAGATTTCACCACGAATTCTAGAACTTCGGCAATTTCTTTTCGATTTTTTTTCGTTGAAGCCACGAATCGAAAGACATTCCTATATTGATTTTCTTTTGGTTCCTCCCCCATCCCAGGCCGCTCAGATCACTTTATCAAATTTTTTTTTTCAGGCAATAAAATTCGGGGGTGGGTTTTCAACATGGGTCAATATTCTCACTTTTCGGTCATAGGAAAGAGGTGGAACCTGGGATTTCCCTCGACGTCGCCGATGGCACAAAAAGATCGTCGTTGCAACGAAATGTCCCGAGGGCAGGAATACAGTCTTGTCGGTTCCTGTCTGGCTGCTTTTTCTCCCCCTCGGTTTCCGTGTCCGTCAGCCGTGACCTTTTCTGACCTTTCCTGACCTCGACTCCGATCCGTGAACCCTGATCCTGGAAACAGTTACGGGAGAGTTCGATTTTATACCATGTTATTTATTTAATTTTTTTTTATGTATGCGGTCTCTGACAAATCCGAACTGGCGAAGCCGCATTTTCTCAAGTCAGGGTGCCAAATGTGTGACCCTCGAACCGAATTCGGTGAAGAAAAAGTGGAGAGGAGAGGGTGAAGACAATGAGGGGAAGAACCTGACAGACCAAGCCCAATGCTTTTCCTAATATGAAGATCCAGACGATTAATAACTTCTGATAAATATTAATGAATTTCACTCACCGCTTCAAATGCGATAACTTTTCGAGGCGAAAAAACGTTGAGGATAAGCAATTTGCTCACTGATCCTTACCAGGTAATTCGCTTTGGCGTGTTTCGAATTGGTCGAGCGCCGATCTCAGATTACCTCAAGATGAAATAGGTATTTGGTAAATTCTACTAATCACGTGTAATTAAGGGTGGATTTTTGAACAGAGCACTATCCGATAATGCAGCTTCATTTACCGGATTTATAATGCATTATATCTGAAATAAAGCTGCATTATCGGATAATGCTCTGTTCAAAAATCCACCCTAAAATTGCTCTGCAATATTTAAGCTAAGAAGGATGGCAGTTCACTTGTTGAAACATATGCCGCCAGCATTTGCCGAACCTCATGATGCACGTGATATCTCGGATGAATTGAGAGTAATTTAAGCCAGAATTTAAGCTTAAACATGATTTTAAATGGAATCAGAACCGTAATGACAGATGATAAGATTCGCGGAGACTTCGTGCCGTCTGCGTCGGACGGCAGCGGCCAGTTGCTTAACCACGGGGATTTTCGGTGCTTGGACCAAAAACTAATTGCTGCTATTGAAGCACTGGGTGAAAAAAAAAAACACAACAGAAATCTTCCTCGTTCATCGAGATGTGATGTGCAGAAAACATGTGGTAAAGTCACATTTAGGTTGTTTTGAGAAAAACAAAAATGAAGTTTCAAAACCGTGTAATTGTTGTAAATATGTTTTCCTACTTAAAATCAGGACTGTGATCATTTTGCAACTTTAGGAATATCAGAAACGAAAGCTTGTACGACAAACACATAGGTGGCAGCACTATCTCAAAAACGGCAAGCGTAAATTGCGCTTTGATTCCCTGTGTAAGGCCTCTGTAGAACACATTTGTACTTGTCTGGGTCGCACTGCCCTTGCGGAATTTAATAGATTGAATAGAGTAGCTTTTATGTCCAAAAATACGGATTGAAAATTACAATTGGTGAATTTTTCTGTCCGTTAAAGTTTCTGTTTCGTACAATCTTCAAAACGAACTCTGAGATCGTGGCACATTTGACGGAACGCGCAGAAGGCTTTGAAGTTGAACTATGGGAGAAGCCAATCCTTCTCAAACGATCGCCTGGCTTTTCGCTTCTCTTTCTTGCCAATAAATCAGGTAATTGTGAAAATGTGAACTCTTTTTTCAGATTCCAAAACCAACTCAAGTTTGGCGGCGCCCATTTCTCTTCTCTTGCAGGTCTTGGAAGAAAAAAAAAACGGCAGAACTCCCCATTCGAAGACTCCATCATCCATTGTGCCCACACCCGAATAGCGCCACTGGCAGCTTCCAAATACTATTGTAGATGACAGTGGCAAGGGTCATGGAGCGCCATCTGTCGTGGTTGCTCAACATTTTGATGAGAGGGCTGACCTAAAAGGAATCTCCATACCTCATTCAAATTGCGAGCACCCACGGTAGATGTCGCTGTATTATCCCGTGTGCTGCCATCTATGAGCACAGCGGAGTAGCTCGATTTCAAATGCCAATTGTTCCCTTGAGCGCAGTACACGGAAAAAACACGTTTTACTCTTTAAATTTGAAATCTCAAATGTCAGTTCAACTGAAAAAGAAATACTGTATCAAATTTGAGCTCCAGTGGCTCTTTTATAGCATGTTTGTGTAATGATTTCTGTATGTAATAAAACGTTGAGTTTGCATAAACTGGCTTTTAAATTATTAGTCAGGAAAATGGTAGAGTGGGACACACATGATGACGAAAAATGAAAATGAGAAGATGCAAAACTTCCCCCTTGGTTTTGGCCGTGGGGTCAACTGCAGACGATCGGGCTCCCTGCCCACTTCCCTCCCTCACCGGGTTTACCTTTACGATTACACATTGCTTTTACGCCCGGGCGTATTACTATAATTTCAAACTGGCCCCGGGAAAAGAGAAGCCGCGGGGCAGGGATTCGAACCCTCGTTATGTGAGTGCAAGTTGATTCACGCCAACCTTAGAGCTCCTACTAGCTCCGACGCTTAACCCCCACGGCCACCAAGGGGTTCCAATATAACATTTTACTTCAGACCTATATGAATTTATTCCCGCATGCCATGAGCTATGACGTCATCCACCTTGTCTGCTTTCTCACGTGTAATCTGCGTCTGTTCGAATGGGTATCTACTTCACTCTTTTGACTTAAGGGTCATTCTCTCAAGGACTCAAGGGACACACACGTGGGCCTTCATGCACACAATGATCAAGCTTTTTGCCTCTAATACAAATGATTTTATTTAACGAAATGGGACAACAAAAAACAAAGGGATACGTGGCAAATTTTTTTTGACAAAAACCTTGGTATATGAGAACAACACATGAGATCCTTCAACAAAACTTGGCATCTGAATGTTTCTGCAGCTGGTAAGTATGTACGATGAGTGAGAGAGATGGTTCAACTTGGTCCAAGCTCCATTTTCAAATTTGGTCCTTCATTCTCTTGGGTACTTCAAATGGACTTCATTCAACTAGCAGCTGTGACAAAAATGCTCAGCTTCAAGGTGACTTCCACCAATGTTCCACAGGCAACTGGGTCCTCAAGCTGAAATTTTGGGTTAGCAAAGATGAGATTTTTCTTTTATGCTAATTGCATATGAATTACTCAATTTTACAGGGTTATTGGAAATAATTCATCACTCTGACTCAACGTTTAAATGGTCTGTGTGTGTGTGCATGGCAACCTCAGTAAGACCAATCATCAATCCCTTCATGGAAAACTCAGGGAAAGTTTGCATGTGGTCATCATTGGCTACAGTGAAGGCACATAAATGCAGACTACTACTGCTGGACAATATTGTATAGGTAGTGTTCAAGGTTTTTTTTTTTTTTTTTGAAGACCACCAGTCAATTGGTTAACTTTCTCTGCAAGTGCAAGGTCTTCCAAAAGTCACTATTTTTGTTCAGGCAGGAGTGGAGCACACAGGTGTAAGGTATGGTAAATTGGGTATTGGATTAACTTGACCAATATGAAGCTGATAGATGGTGTCATTTAATCACACGCCTTGCAACCGTGGCATACGTCAGATGATTACAATTAATCTGAGTTCCTCCAGTGATTCAAGGTACAGGTAGATGTTCAGTAGTAGTACATCTAAACTTTTGCATAAGGCATTTCTTGAGGAATGAGGCCAACCATTTCTCCAACCTTCTGCTATTTTTCAATTCTGGAATAATTTTAAGGCTGTCTGTTCATGGTGGCTTTCCATTCCACAGTGAAGGCACAACACAATGAAGGTGCCATCACAGGACTTCATTTTTTTTTCCTTAACCTGTTGAGGACTAGGTTTTTTGGCCATTGCAGTACCCCAGGGCCTGAGTTTTTTTTTCTTAAAAAAAATGCAAATTTGAAGTATGAGCAATATTAATGAATATATGCACTAATATATATCCATTGAACTTCCTTAAAGCCCCAGAATTGATCCTTTTAAAATTTAAATACCTCATATGAGGCACGTAGTCCCCGCGTGCAAGACTACGTTCGGGCCTCATATGAGGCACGTTGCCCTCAACAGGTTAATCAGCTTCTGAAAAGTTAAATTGGTCCAATACTGATTTCTTACATCTTTAGTCAGTCTGTGCCAACTCAACAACTGCCTAAATGGTGGCAATGCCTTTGGGAAAGAATCTGTTGCTTTCACACTCTGTGGGGAAAAGGCCTGGTGATTTATGTTGCATAGGAAGGAGCAGGATATCATAATTTATAATAATTATTTTTGTTGCTATTCTCTCTTTGGCAGCTGAGCCCACCATTAATCTCAGAGACTCTTCGCAATAGCTTCACTTTGGTACCCGATTCTCTTAGGTTGGAAGATGTTTTTCATAAAAATGAAAATAGAAAGAATGCACAAGTAAATGTACTTTTGAATGTGGAATAAACTGACCTGAAGTTTGCACTATAGTGGGATGCAGGCAGCAGTTCCATCTCCCTCCACCAATACAAATACAGTCTTGAGCACTTACAATTAGAGACTCTTCAATTTTCAACCACCAATTGGAAGGTTTGTTTTTTCCTCTGTCAATCAGGATGGTGGTGGGATAGATCTCAACTGCTTCTGTCAACATAACAAAAGAATTTAAAAAAAATGGAGCAATGTTCTGATTAGCTCACTGCTGCTTTTTATGGTCCTTATCAGTTGGAAGACAATGTTGCCTCTCAATTCATCAGAAGTCTCAAATGACTGCTGGGAAAGCTCCCACATGATTATTTTCTTTTTTTTTACAATTAAGTTGGATTTGATTGGAACTTGGGGTAAGCATGAAAAATCCTGCAGATGCCCTCAAATGCTGAGCACTGTAAACAAAGTTTCATAATATCTGATCTCAGTTTCTCGACAGAGTAATGAATGGAAATTTTGGAGCTCATAAGCAGACATCCATTCTTTTTTTTTTTTTAATAAATGAAAGTAACATTAACCAGTCAATATGGCTTGTGTGTGTGTGTGTGCATGGCAACCTCAGTAAGACCAATCAATCCCTTCATGGAAAACTCAGGGAAAGTTTGCATGTGGTCATCATTGGCTACAGTGAAGGCAGATACAATGCAGACTACTATTGCAGGACAATATCACACCTATTGCTGAACATCAAGCTGCTCCAGTTTCTTGCTGACTTGAGCTATTTCTTCATCAGATGTTACACTATCACTGTCAGTTTCTCCTGTCTCAGCCTTTAAAGCCAGAGTGCCTGCTTCCTCCCATAACTTCACATCAAGACCCAGATCCATTTTCTTCACCTTCACCTAAAAATGAGATCAACTAGCTTCAACTTATTTGCTTTTGGCATGAGACATAATTATCCCATTTGCATACCATTTTTTTCTTACTAAGAGTTGCTGTGAAATACCATTTAATGTGTGAAAAAACTCCTCATTGCACACTAAACCTAAACAAGCCTACTAGAACCTAAATGAAGGCATATCATGCCATCTAACAATCACACCCTTGACTAACAAGCCATGAACCCATCTGGAAGATGGTTAGGTAAGGGCTGAACACTTCTGAGGCTGTCTTAGAGATGGTTAGGTATGCAAATGGGTTAAAAGATGGGAAGAAAGTTTAAGTCTGACATTTTCTAGAGTGTCTGCCAAGGTATGAAAAGCAGAATCAGGAAGACGTTGAACCCAGGCACAATAGTCCCTGATATAGAGATCATTAAGGATGTAATATGGTCTGGAGCAAGTGGGAGAGACAAAAAGTTGGTGGATGTTCAGGAGGCAGCGAAGAATCTCTTTCCTTCCTGCAGAAGAGACCAACAAACTGGAAAAAATTAAAAATCAAGGAAATCACAAGTACTTGCACCAAGAAAAAAATAATGGGGCCTGGAGTAATATACTTGATATGCAAAATATATTTTTAAAAATTACAATGACAAATCAACATATAAAGGATGCAACAATTAGCCTTAGGCAGCGACTGATAAGTTCATTAGCCAATGTCTTGCATACTCTCTTCTGCTGAGAGTTTATCTGCATATGTTGGATGTGACATTTCATGAAACCCAAAGTTAGGAATACAATATAGAATTACTGAAATCATGATTCATAAAATTATAAATTGAAAGAAATAATTTTTCCATGTGGGAACCTGGGAAGCAGGATATTCTCAGTAAATGATCCTTCATTAGCATATTTGTAGCTCTCGAGTAGTGAGAATATATAGGCCAGGAAACAGTGCTTCCCATCAACTCCCCTCCTCCCTCTCAAAACTTTCAAAGAACCCCTTTGAAAATCTTATGTCCCATATTAACCCAAATTCTTTGAAAATGATGACAACCCACCAGCTCTGAGTAAAGAGATAACATCAGCCTTGCAGATGCGGGCCAACTCCCAGTGGCGATAAAGGGGAAAACAGAGGCAACGACGCAGAAATGCCCTCAATACCTCATACACATCCTCAAACACCTACAAAACAATTATCAATAACATTCTCAAGCCTCTATACAAATAAATTACCAATGCCATCATGACTTCCAGAGGCAAGTTAGAGCTCACATCAAACCATGAAAGGGTGGAGCTAAGAATGGCAATGTTCCAGCTGGATTCTACTGATGTCTCTCCCAGGGTTACATGAAAGTCATAGCAATATGCAAAGAGGATGTCCAAGAGACCCAGCATCACTGCACGATTTTCAATTGCATCCAGGAGATACTCCTGTCTGGGGAGTCCCAACAAGGTCAATTTTTCATCATCTGTGAAATCATCTGCAAAATGGAATTTCCCAATGAGGACATAATTTATGTCATGAAGATATGAAAGAACAGGCCTGACTCACAACATTCTATTTGCTTCTGCCAATGAGGAACAAAAGAGAAGATTTCCTCAAGTATTGAAGGAGTAGAATGGAGATCAGCCAGGTAGTGATCATATGAAAATTGCTTCTCTTCGCTCTCCTCCCTTTCCTTTCTCCTTTCTGTTGCTGACTTTTTCTCAGGGTCTCTCACCAGTACCACATCACTGAATTCATCCTGTCCGATCAAAATAATAAACCTAATTCAGGTCAGAATTCAATGTGAATTGATAAATAGAGGCTGTTCTAGTGATGCAATAAAAAACTAATATGGAAAGGTCAAGAGGTTTTTTTTATTTTATAAAATGCAAGAAAAAAAGCTTTACTTAGGCACAGATGGCATTAATTTAGTCAATAATACCAGTCTGTCCATTCAGAAACTCTTCCTTTTGGGCTGATTGGGTCTGAGCAAAATAGGTATAGATGGAAAGCTTGAAACCTTGGAAAGCTCCATGTCTCATATTTATTGTCTTCCAAATAAAACTAGCAGAGCTGCAACTGAATTACTACAGCAAAGGTTGGGGTTGGTGAGTGACTGGGTTGGTAGTGAATTGGCTCATTAATGATCTCAATCTCACCTGCAATCTTGAGAATTTCCCTGATTGCTTCTGGGCAAATCCATACTTGAATTCGCGAATGATAGATGAAAGGTCTGATCCCTGCTCATCACTCTCCTTGGGCACCTGTTGATCAATGGACCAGTCCCATTCTTCTACACTTGTTCTAGACTCAGCTGAAACAAGAATAAGTAATCCCCATTTTCCTAGAGACACTACCATGGAATTCCTTGTTCATGATTAACTTAAGCCAACCCTGAAACATTTTTCCTAACTTTCATTATCCAGCCAACATTCTCCTCCCACACCTGTCCCTGTCCTCCCTATGGCTAAAAACAAAGCTCCTGTAAAGAGAGACCCATACAAATACATGTCTAGGGCATTTCAATTGGTGATGCAAGCTTGCACAAAGGGCGTGACAGTATATGGTAATTCTCACATGGGGGATGTTAGTAGATGGTTTTTTGTTTACTTTTCATTTTCAAAGCACAAAATGTACTCAAACGTGGCAAGAGGTTTTGGATTTGAGAATGAAAATAGGCATTCCAAGAATGAATTACTCGGTCTACTGCAGCCATGCTCATAACACATTCAAATTGCCATGGTTTAAAGTGTTAATACCACAATTTCAGGATGACTTCATGCACCCTCACAGAACAAACCATGGTTTTCTGCATCTACAGATATTAAGGAACTAGCATTTTCTACATTGTATGATACATATCAGCTGTTATCTGTTCATCATATGAATGGGTTTGATCAGGCAATGAGCCAATCCAGGCATGGAAGATCAAGAAATCTTCTCTTCAATGTAACAAACTAGATGTCCCTAGAGCAGTGTTTCCCAAACGGTGTGCCACGGCACACTGGTGTGCGCCGTCAGTAATGCTTAGGTGTGCCGCGAGATGTGAGAGTTGACAAAAAAAAACTAAAATCCTAAAGCTAAAAAAACTTAAAAACAAGAAGGAACGCCATCTCTCAGTGGAAAACGAACTTAGAGTTGCCCTATCACGTCTCGTATCAAACTGCTGTGTTCAGCGAAGCAAGCACAAGTTTCCCATTGAAAGTAAGTAAATGGCTGGGTGTGCCATGGAAAGTTCAAGTATCCTTATGTGTGCCTCAAATAAAAAAAGATTGGGAACCACTGCCCTAGAGTATAAACACCAGAAGCACTAGCACCCACATAGGGTGTGTGAAGTCACTTCAAAATCGTTAAGATAAATATAGACTCAAATACTGAAACCTCCTTACTAAATAAATAATCCTTTAAGAATCTATGGTCTTCTCAAGGGGAAAAAAAGAGTTCCTTAACTTAAAGACCCCCTTACCTTACCTAAATGAGGCTTCAGCATTTGGCCTGTGCTCTTCAGGACTAAGAGGGGACTTACTACTGTCATCCTCTCCACTGATGACTTCAATCAGGGGTCGTCTCCCAGGGCTCTTTGCATCTGTTGATGGAGTGAGGAGAGAAGTAACCATGTCCAGATCTGGGAAAACCTCTCCTTCCTCTTTCTTGGATATTTGTATTCGGAAATGCCCAGTGTCTGCATTGTACTCAGCTTTGTTTTCATCACTCTCCACAACAGGTTTTGGCAGAAAGAGCCTAATCATGAACATCAATATATTCAAAATGAGAATGGAAGATAAAAATTAACTAAATCTGGAGAAACGGTTAAATCAGTTCATGGTCAATATCTCACTAACCTTAAGTAATAAGGGCGTGCAAAGAATCGGAAGTCACAGTCTTCAACAAAAACTTCTGCATCTTGCAATGACGCATATCGAGCTTCAATGTCAAATTCCAAAAACTTTTGAGTCTGTGATATTGAGAACTTTGGGGTGATCATGCTTTCCCAGTGATGGCAAAAGTTGGCTAGAGTAGAGAAAAAAATTTTCAGAAACCTATAGTTCCATAACAGTGTAAGTACATACATATAGTAATAGGCTTAGTGATTTTCAGCTCAATGTGTATTCCCTAGGACCTAACAATTCACCTGTGAAATTATTACAGGTCCATGTAGGTGGTGATTACAACCATGTAAGATAAATTGTTGCACTAGCTCCACCTGCATTGAGTACATCTAAATCACATGAAGAAACATAACTCAATCACAAGCTAGAATCTCACAGGTCTCACCTAATTATACTCTGGTAGGTCAAAAGGAAAAGTAAATACTATTGCACTCTACTATAATGGCTCAGTTAAGATGAGACCTTGGTTATAGCATTGAATAAGGCCTGGTACCAGCCTGAGGCCCATAAAATATATGTGTTTATACTTGCTTATCGTTAGCTCAGTTTATTGCAAGAACATTGGTTAGAGTGAAGTCAATTTTTGATTCACTAACAAAATTGACACTGTCGTGAAGTTTTTAAAGCTCCCAAAAACTGACAATACTATTGTTGGACACCATAATAAAAATAAATCCCATACTTTCCTTCTCTTTGAATTGGCACTCCTGGGTTAAAGGGAAACAACCAGTCACCAAGAAATCTCTTGACAAACTGCAGTTGCTATTCAAAGTTCTTGCATGTGTTGGCGTGTGAAATGTCACAGATGCCACCCTTTATGATGGAACAATGTATAAACATGACTTATTTAAGCATGAAATGAGAGAAGTAAGATGGTTTCCATTGTGAACATGTTCTTCTGAGCTCATCTATTTCCCTAAATGGAAAAAGTGCAGCCCCAGCTCTAAAAATTTCCTCCTTGTCTCTTCAATAAGGTTTAAACAAGTTCAACTTTACAGTGACTTTCAAATAGATGATCCCTCTAGAACCCTGGTTTAAGCTTCACCTATAACTATTTTACTCCAGCAAACCATTTTGAATAATTTTTCATGATTCTTTTAAATATGTTTATTAAGTTTCCTGGATTCACTTGGAATTGCTGCTAAAGGCAGCAGACAAGTTAGCTTCATATTTTTGGTAATAAAAATTGTAATATGAAAGTCTAATGGGCTCACAGAAAAATGCGAGTAGACCTAGCACCTCCTTCGCTTAAACAATTTTTCTCAGCCCTCTACTCGCTGAAGCGTTAGGGCACGCTTACATAGGCCTAATTTACATCAATATCTATAACGAATAAAGTAAACTATCTTCAAAACTGCAGTGCAGTCGTAGTTCAGCTCCAGTTTGGATTTCACGACAGAAGTCGATAAGAATGCAGTAGAAATTCATTCAGACCAAAGCTTGAAATAAACTTGGAACAGAATTGCAGCTTCTAAATCCCTGATTTCCCGTGATTAGGATATAAGTCAAGGTTCTCGTACTAGCAACACAGATTCCAGATTCAGAGAATAGGAAATAGCAATGAATTTCTGGATTATTAAATTGAGTTCAGTTGGGCATTTGTTGCCGATTGGATAACTTAATGGGAAGGTAGGAAATTGATCCAAATAAGCCGGAATCGCTCAAGTTGGAGCAACCCGGAACACGTGTTGACACGCGGGACAGTGGCCATGTTTGTGGGAGCAAGTCCGTTGAGTTCATTTTCCCCGGGCGAGACCACCCGAGGCATCAGGTTTTTTTTTGCCTTTGGATGCTCTGCGAGGAATAAGTCTATGGTGCAACCAGAATTATCCTTTGGTTGCAAAAATTGCTTTTAGTGGAGGAGGAGAAATAGGAAATCATAGCTGCTCTATAGAAAAGGTTTCCAGGAACGAAAGGCGAGTAGCAAAGTTGCAAATAATCTGAGTTGGAAAGTGTCTCGCAGACCTAATAAGGATTCATTCTGGAACCTTTTTTAGGCCTACCGTGACCAACACGATTGGACTGGACAATTATTTTCCGAGAATTTCGCTGCTGTCAGAAGAGACTGCTCACTAGTCTCAATCCTAATTCCCCAGTACCATGGGACAGATAATCCCAACCGGGGAGTTACATTTTGACATTTGAGAAATTGGTGACCCGCCCTGCAAATATGACCAACAAATTTTTTTTTGCGAATCGAACCTGTAAAATGTATCCCCAGGGGGGGGGGGGGTTATGACCCCCTTGGACACGCCACTGCCACGGGATCATCCGTTGGACGTTCGAATCGGATCTCAACGTCTTTTTTCAAAATATGAATCCAATTAACTGGAACCGGACTTCATCCAAAGTGCGTCCATATTCCTAACATTTATGGAAGTGCGCTGGTTGTTCCAGGGCATCTCTTGGACCTCCCTTCGAAACCCCGTGTAATATTTTGGAATTTAATTATCTATAGGAATTTTTAATTATAAATAAATTATGCACGCTAAACATTCTTGGGAGAATGCCGCAATGAATTGATGGAATGTATTCCATCCTCTTTGAGGTCTCGGCGCCTGGCGTCACCCGGTCCACGTCATGGCGGGAAAATCCGACGGATGTACCTTTTCCACGTGGCACTTATTGCTTGACGTTTTATTGGCAACCATTCACTGTTACTTTGGGACTTTGGCAACTATTCACTGTTACCATTTTATGAATCAATATTCGAAAAAATACAGAAGATATTGTACAGGACTGCCCTTTCCAGTGGCATATGCAAATTCGATCAACAATATTGGTGGTAGGCTTCTAGAGAGGGGGGCAACTATTTACAATGCTCAGTATTACACTAGAAGCTTGGATTCATCCCATGGACAGATACCTGCCACATCCCTTCTAAATACATGTGACTCTAGGGTATCCATATTCTTTAGATATTATTCCTCACCGTCTGTATTGCGCATGAACGAGTGGCTGCTAGCAAGTGCAAGCACGTCTTGAGTAGAGAGCTGCTCAGTCATCCAAATTCGCATTGATAATTTATATGTACGCAGTTGCAATGGATGAAAAGTCACAAGATGTAGTATACATAATCATGATATTGGCTATGTGAGTTAGATGTAATTTTGTTTGGGAACAGTTCGGATTCTTGCAAGGGGAGAATTTCGTCAGACCGATACTCTTTTCCCCCCCGGATCGGATGCGCCTCTACTCTCCCTCGAGGGTTCGAAGTATCAATCCCCGCCCTGATTTCATTTCGATTCAATATGCACTACTAACATGGAATGTTCTCGTTCTGCCTTTTATTTGTTACCTGCCACTGCAAGAGGTGCAACTCACCAGGCGACCAGTGGCGGGAAGGCCGCACCACTATAGCCAGGTTCGCATTCTATTTTTTTTAATATGCACATTAATTAATTAAATGAAGACTATAGGGCGGAGGGTAGTGGTAGGGGGTTAGGAATTACGGAAGCGCGCCTCCCCCCATTGAATAATTTCTTTAACCGCCATTGCAGGCAAGACTGAGGTAAACAAATTGCACTTCTTGCTCCCATTAACATTACAATGCATTCTTGTTCATTATAAAGAACATGTGGGCCTCCTAAATTTTACGTCCACGAGCCACCATTGGTATGTATATGCACTACAAGAGAAGCCATTACAAGCATAAACTTTTTCTTAGGTGTTTAGACAGGTTTTCCCATGGACACTGGAGGAACTCCAAAAGAACAATATTGTAAAAACTTTCACCCTAAATATTCAATCTCTCATCACTTCAACAATGCTGCACATATCGGCTCCACCTATGCACACTGCAAGGCTCCCATTGTTGGTTAGCCCATACCAACCAATGTTTTGGAATGAGTTCCTTTTGGCTTGAACATGAGATTTTTCTCACTCATTTCTAAGAAGTACAGAAGCCAGAAACAAAAAAAAAATGTGTTCAGGGAAGTATAAAGGCAGTCTCTGCACAAGGCATGAATTAGTACTTCACCCACTACCATTGAATTAAATAAAGGTGAAGTACTGATTTATGTCCATGCACAGGCCAAGAGTATTTCACTTTATATTTTTGATTCAATGGTGGAAAGGAAGAGATACTTTTAAACTTGCATGTTTCAAATTTGCACGAGACATCAAAGACGAATTTGATTAAGAAAGTATAATGCAAAAAATGAAAGAAAAGATTAGATGATAAAAACCAATGACCAGCTTCATTGCAAGGAACACCATGTCCATCACACGTTCCCTTTGCCATTGCACAAAAATGGTATTGAGTGACAAATCAACATGATGCATTCATTGAGGAAGGGAAAATCTGCCACAAAGCAATTCTATACCTCAAAACATAAAGATGGAGACTGGCCACAAAGAATAAGCAAGAAGCTGATACAGTTATCTATTTACTGAATTCACACTAAATTCTTCCTCACATGCAGCATGTGCACTCTAATGAACATAATTGCTCTGGGCTATTCTCACTACTGGGTAAATGAACTTTTTTAGAAACTACACAAACTTGTCATGCCTTCAGGTTGAACAAATGGGTCTAAATCACCTGAGGAAAATTTGAAACCCAATTCTGTGATATGATGGGTCAAATCAGATGATACCCAAAAGCAAACACTTCTCAAGCCTAATGGTACAAAATAACCACTCAACCTAAGCCAATATCACACTAGTCCATAATGAATCAAAATGAAATGTCTGGCCTTATTGCTATTGAATTGTATAGTTGGACACTGTACTTGTGGCAAGTACATTTGAAGAATTCCATAAGAATATGTCAAGAAAACAATCACATAATGTCCTATTTTGCCTCCATTACTGATTTGGTGCTGGAATCATTGCACAAATATGCCTGAGAACATATTTTGATCTGGGGCTGATCTGAAAGACTTAATATAATGAACTCAATGTCAAGTTGTTATGTGGAAAAGGGAAGCATTGTCCTCAAAATCGAATGGAAAAGGAATGCATAGCAATGGGTGAAAGTGCAAGACAAGAACAAACTAATTTTTTTTGGGACTATGGGAAGAATTCTCCCAAGAACCTTCAGAAATGATGACAAGAGGCACAGCATTGAGTACAATGTCACTTCCTTGTTGGAGTTGAGGCAGTGATGGGATGTGTGAAAGTCATATCATTCTGGGCCTGTTGATGCATGTGTTTTTCAGTCCCAATGCTTTCCTCCTCGATTGCTGGCCACACCGAAGATACACATCCAGTGTTGTAGCCTGTGTCATGGGAAGCAGAGTTCCCAAATGACATACTGCTTGGAAGGTGGATCGTGCTTGAGCCTGCTGTCTTGGGATCACATGTGGATTGAAAGACATTGGAATGCAGTCCAAAATCATGCTCATCCATAGATAGGCTTGCCATGGTTGTATAACTGTCCTCCATTGGGGAATTGGTCAATCCTAATTCAAAACTTCTCTGGTTCTTGCCACTCTGAGCAGTAGCACTGACAGAATTTTGGAGAAGTGGAGAAGCTAATGTAAAATTGGGGAGATGAGTATCCAAGTCATGATGAGGGCCAATAGGAGAAACAGTTGGAGACTGGAATGTCCCTTGGGGTGTTACTGACATTCGTTTGCTATCACCTCCTCCTATTGGACTCCCTGCCAGATCCAACTATGAAAGGATAGAGATACAAACATTTTCTCACAATTCGGTACATAATACTTATGAGAACATATTACTGATTGATATTATGAGAACAATTAAGGGCCACAGCCTAATTCACCTGAAAAACATATAGCCTCATTCTCAGGTTTAAATCATTCGGTTTTCTATTAGGTTTTTAAAATTATTTTTAATAAGTATTTCCATAGCTGCAAACAAGGAAATTTGCAGGGTTCACCCCCAAAAATACCTGGAGAAAGTAAGTCCTAACTAGGAAGTAAGTACAGCTGAGGGGCAAGGAGAAGAAAAGCACATCAGCCCTATTTCCCTTAGGCTTTCATTTCCATTGCAAAAAAATTTTAATGGCAGAGAACTCATACCTATGTATGCTTTTTACCAAAATGAAAGTTCCCCACAATCAGCAAAAAAAATGTGAGAACCACTTACATGAGCACCATTTCCAGAGATTGCACATGAAGATACAAATTGAGGATCTGGGTCATCAAGGTGAGCTGCATCTTTAAATGACCTGAAAGCAAAGCCCAGATAATATCAATAAGATCATGTATTGCATATAATATATGGTCTGACATGGGGTCTAGAACTCACATGTGACTATCGTCATTATCACCGCTCAAGAATCTCAACTTCCTTCTAGTCAGTGAGGTATTTCCCATTGAGTCTTCCCTCCGGTTCCCATTTCCTTCATCCTATTCAGAGAACAAATCAGAAATGTGTTCTCAGCATCTCATACCCGAAATGCACAGAGTGTAAAGGAAAATGTATCTGACAAGTGGTATGGGTGGGATGAGATAGTATTTCCTCAGGACACCTTCAACCTCCTCAGGAAGATCTACTGGGAAACTCAGACAAGTTTGAGAGCCAACTGAAAGCAAAAGAGAGAAAATTTTGTAACTTTTTATTAGCTATCACACATGAAAAGAAGAAGTTTGTACCATACCATCAGTATGAGGTGCTTCAGCCTTAGTGCAACAGATGCATTCCTCAGTGCTGGTACATCGCAATTGGGCTTTCATTCTGATATCAGCATCAGCAGGGCTGAAGACACTGTGCACTTCCTCAAAATATCTTCAGGAAAAAAGTGCATATCACATTAACTAATATAACTAACATGGTTGCATGGTAAGCAATAGTTACAATAAGAGAAGAGCATATTGGATGAATATGCTCTTCTCTTATGTGCTCAAATTTATAATGGCAGCTCAATATAATGGAACAAACAAAATACCTGTCAATTTTTTCTTGTATAAGCTGTTCAACATGGGGATCAATTGGCGATTGAAGAAGATGATGAGGTTTCACTTCAATGGCAGTTGGGTACAGTTTTGATTGCTCCTCTATAGCCCATTGAAATTCACTAGTCTGCATAAGTAAAAAATTCAGATGTAAACAAAATATATACAGTGAGGTCAATGAGAAACTTGTATTGGCCTAAGAGGACAATTTGGGTAAATATATTATTCTTAAAATTATGATGGTATTAGGACTGTTATCTTTCTCTTTCCAAACTGTGGGTGAAGAAGGTGCTTAACCCTTTCGTGGGCCATTTTCATCTGGGAAAGTTGACACATCTTCCTGCATTTTTCCAATCTAATAAATTACAACAAAAAAAACACAAAAAAAGATTCCATCTTTGTATATAGTTACCAATCATATGCAAATAAGGTGGAAAGTATGATTCTCTAATGGTATCAATGTAAAGTGGGAAATACACTTTCAAGAATTTGTGTGATGGGATGCAAAATTCCCACAGAAATGGTTAACAAAAGATGGATACTTGAAAAACATGCATGTTCTTTTATCCTCACATTGTCATGAGATATTGATAATTTGAGGGTAATATGCATTCCTGGCATCAACAGGCTAATGGTTACAAAAAAAAATGTGAGTCCATCATCTTTCCTGTTTTCTCTTGTTTTAAAAAAAACAAACTATTAATTCATTTTCACATCCCCTTCCTTGGCCTTAAAGCAAATTGAGAATTTATATAATTCATTCCTGAAATCTCACCTCCTCCTTGCTTGGACTGACCACTCGTGCAAACACTGTTGTGGGACTCATAATCGGCTTGTGCAAGCGTTCAAGGAGATCTTCTTCAAATGGATTCCATACTGGTGTTGTAGACATGGCAGCAGAATTGAATGAAGACTTGGACGAAAGTCCATTTTGATGAGAAGGATCCTGTTTCCTGTTTTGATTGCAGAGTGGAGATGGCTGAAGGAATTTGCCTTTATGGGAGAAATTTGATGAGAGATGGAACCTGTGCCCTGCTGCAAGAGCCTTTTTTCTCAAAGAAAAAGGAGGTGTGACAAAATTAGGGATGTTCTCCTTAGTAGAGGAACTCCTGTAAGTATGCCAATAAGAGGCACTTCCAGATGAAGATGCAGTGACTGTTGATTCCACTGTCACCTTTTCTTGTTTTGAAATCACACCTATTCCATTAGAGCAATGGGAATTTGATGCAGCTAATGGACTGAGGTTGGACAATCCAGACTGGCAGGCTCCATTCCTTGATTTCAGGCTGTCTTCAGAAAAGCAGAACCGCTGAATAGTCTTCATCCATTGAGAATATTGTTTTGTTTTTCCATCAATGGTATCTCCCTGTAGTGCTCCTTCCATGGTGTCACTGATTTAGTCGATTCCCAAAAGTTGAATTGTTGTCTTGAGAACAGTGATTTGGATTTAGTCATCTATTCATCTTCTTTGTCAGTGAGATTATTAAAGATTGCAACCTCATATAGTCAATTTATCCAACACTCACTGGACCTGGTGTGATTTACCTAAGACAAGTGCATTTTCATATAGAGTCACAGCGCTTGGTCTAGGCCTAGACCCAATTCCTGTCATGAGGAAGAAGGCTTTCTTAAATTAGCAATAACTCTCAAAGGTTTGAAAACCAGGGGCTATGGTGGCAGTTGAGTCGACAAATCCTTTCAAATAGCCTTTTCGAATCACTGAAATCGCACATATACTTGTATAAGCCTACCATGCATCAAAATGTTGGCCTATGATGCCTAACCTGGCAGGAGGCTTAGGTCTATATAGGCCCAAGAGAAAAGGGGGTGCCTGCATCCCAATTTAGGTCCGATCACCGTTATGCCCAACTCATTGCCTTTTACGCACCAAGGAACGTCTATGAGCTAGGCACGAAGTTATATCTACAAGTAGCCTAAGACCAAATAAGGATGTTGGCGACACTGAATGGTGAAGGTGAGGTATGAGAAAATATCACCAAAATCCGTTGAAGAGAGGGTCAGAATGAAAAAGCCTTTAAATGCCACGCGCAGGGTGGGAGGAGCTGTCCATTTAAACTCCCGCGTCCAACGGTCTTTCTGCCCTTCTACCCTCCTCTAAGCTTACCTCATTCTGCCACTAGATGTCAGGCGTTATCGTCTCTATGGCGGCCTCCTTGCACCACGTGACAGCGAGGATCCTCAGCACCGGGTTATCTGCCTTCGATTTGATTAGAAATCAACTCCTGTAAATTTTCTTCTCGGGAAAGGTCATGGCCTTCGACCTGAAGAAGGAGGAAGATGTCAAGGACTTCATCCAAAACCTAGGGATTGAATACAGGCTGGGTTGCTACAATGAAAAAAATCCCGAAGGTGCTAGGTTTCATTTTTCTCTGTATGTCTAGACTCACTTGCTTGCCAGGTTATGGCTCATTATGTCTCCATCCCCTCCACACTTTATTTCTACATTAGGGTCTTATATCTCAACTGTTTTCTATTTTGCCTGTTCCACCAGGTTTGAGCCTTGGAGGTAGATGCCGTGAGGCATTTCTCTCACTACTACCTTTTTGAAGTCCCATGTTAAGGTCGACCTCACATCTTAGCTTCACATTCCCCCCTCATTCATAAGATGGGAGCTTCTCAATCACTTCCATAGTTACATACAGTTATATTGGTCCTTTGTTTTCATTGATGCCCCTGGAGATATCTCACCCCTTTCCTAACTCCTTTAGCCACTGGGTTCTGAGATACGAAAGGGAATCAGCCTGAGAAATTCTCATGAATATCAGTGAAAGGGTGAAGGGTATCCACAGAAGGGACAACTGCTATGTTTTTACTGAACTTGTTCCATATGCTTTCACTACTAGTAGAATAAAAAAGTAATTGAGTCTCACATGCAAAGTGTCTATGTAGTTTTGTTTCCCCTAAAGAAAGGTTTTCTCCTCATCTTTAAGTGGAAGTCTCTGGTGGATTCTGCCTGATGGCTTCTCCTCAAGTTAAAGTTTTCAGTTTGCATGGAATGTTGAAAATGAAAGGTAACCTTCAGTGACAGAATAATGTGCTTTTACACCATTATGCCCTTTTGAATTTTTCTTTTGCCATTATCATGCATTATGTTTGAAGTTGAACCATAAACTGTACAATTTCCATACCAGCAATTATATTGTATTTTCTGTGAGGTATCTTAAATGTGTTCTTTAAACAGGTGAAATGAAATGAAATATATGATCTTCATTGGGTATTTATGGTTTTTGCAGCATGCCATCTCCTTGGTGACTACTTGGAGGCCATTAAGAAGGACTTTGAGAGAGCAGGTAAAGTATATCGCAGCAACTGCGATGATTACAAGTTCCACAAGAGCTGCCACAAGTTTGCCAATTACCAACTGCTTGGTCGGGGTTGCAAGCAGGACGAGAAAAGTGCATTCACATACTATGACAAAGCTTGTGGACTAGGCAACAGTGATTCATGCTTCAACTTGGGTCTAATCTGCTCATCCAAAACCTTTGAGGCTGCACAACCCCAAAATTATACCTTGGGACTCAAATACTTGGACAAGGCATGTACAATGGGACATGCTGGTGCATGTTATCATGCAGGAGCTCTGCACATCCTTGGGACAACAGATAAGACAGTCCCACAGGACATGAAGAAGGCATTTGAATACAGTATCAAGGGATGTGACCTTGGGAACATGTATGCATGTGCCAATGCAAGCCAGATGTACCTGAAGGGAGAAGGGGTGGAGAAAGATGACAAGAAGGCCCAGGAATACAAAGCTAAGGCATTGGACTTTCAGGACCAGTACAAGCATCAGTTCCAGATTGAATTCCAGCAGGGCCTACAAGAAAAATGATGTGTTCCCTGTTAGTAGTTTTTTTTTTTTCATTTAGTCTGTGTTTATTAAATTGGTGCTATATGATAAATTGAATGATTGACCTACCCAGTTTGGCTCTTGAATGTAATAATTTTTTTTTCTAGGAAAATAGGAACTTTTGCTGCTGGGCCAATTCTGCTATATTATTCTGGCACACCATGCCAGTCAAAAGAGACCGACATTGCCAGTGAAATCATTAAATGTACATGTGAACATTCTAAAGTTGTAAGTATAACTTGTACTATCTGGTATATATTCCCCCTGAAAATTGGCATCAGTTATCCAAAAGTTGAGAATATATATATGGCAAATTGAAATTTAATTTATTGGTTTCTCCCAGAGTAATCATTTTGCAGTAATCACTAATTTTTCAATAAGTCTACCCTAAAATTTCACAATAAGACAGTTTTCTGCAACATCCTAAAGCTGAGGCTGGCTTAAGAATACTTTCATTCACTTTTTCAATGAACTAAGTGCCTTTCTTCCTTTCTAGGATGTTTAGAATTTAGAAGCAATTCCAAAAGTGTTGAGGTGTAGATCAGACACATGCAAACTAAATATTCAGTACATCCATGTGCAAATTATGTGAGTTGGGGATAATGGATGTGGAGTATACTTGACTTGAAGGTACCAGTAGGCAAATGGCACAAGTGTTTGGAAGACTCAAACTCAAGGCTTGAAAACTGGAGGTCTTAAAAGCCACTCTTGCTTGAGGACAAATTTTTATGTATGAGGTAGTGTCAGGCACACAATAATGAGAGCAATGAAATTTGACCTATGATGGACTATGTGGGGCAAAGGGTTCAGGCATGTTTCAGTGCTTTCAGGTGAGCAGGGGTTTTCTCAATCATAATCCAAGTGGTACATCAAGAAGTAATTCTGATGGAGACACTGCATATGCTTTTTTGCTGGATGTGGATGACCTTCAATTAAATCAGATTATATGAGGGCCTGCTGTCCTCTTCATCCCTGCCTTTTCCATGCCTCATATCATCTCCCATCTTTCTTCTTGAATCCTTTCATGTCTTCAGCTCATCTTAAGTTGCCTTGAGTTTTCTCATCTTAAGTTGCCTTAGAGGCTTTGAAAAAGAAAATGAGACATTCAGATTCAGGTTTTAGACCTTCATGCGATTAGATGCAAAATTCAAAAAGCCTGGCTTTCCAGGAAAATCCATTCATCTCTTCCAAATCAAGGGAGGAGATTCAGGAGTATTTTAAGATCAAGCCTTCCTCTCTGGCCTGGCTAATCAAAGTCACAGTCATGGCATTCGAAACCTGATCACCTTAGAGTTATTCTTTTCCTCTAAATAATGTCGACCTAAAAAAAATTTGAGCGGATGCCGACCTTGCAGGATGGAGTACCCAAAATGTTCCACTTCCGAATGAGGTCCAACACGTGGTAATTACATTCCCAATTGCTCCTTCTATAACAGCATATTATGTTGTCATCATAGTATTTATGCAGTCCACACGTGACGCCATCCCGGTCGTGCCACCGTTACTCGCAAGTGAACTCGTCCTCTGAGGGCCCAATGGAATGTTCACTCCAAACTGACATTGATAATTTAAAAAGGCTTGAGAGGACTCTAAGCATCGATAGCTAGCCGCTCCTCCCACTCCCGCTTCGCCGATTCGAGTTCCATGATTTATCTTCAACATCGAGCGTCATATCATCATCCGTTGCGAAAACCAAACCGATGAAAGCTGTGTTTCTCGTCGGGCCTTCGACGCGCCGCACTCGAAAGGGATATCGAAGTTCCCCGAAAGTACGAAACTTTTCCTTCCCCGCCGATATTAACGCACAAAAACCGAAATAATCCTCTGAAATAATCCGGTGATATTTGATTGAGAGATCCCCGAGATCCTCCCTGTCGCCCGACCGATTTCACATCTCAAACGCTCGATCGATCCAGAATGAACCGAGATCCTCCTTAATGCAGACACCTGGTTCGTTTCCAGCATGCAAAATGACTCCTCCACCCTTCCTGCTGAACCCTTCCTCACGCAAAGTGTCGAATCCCTGAATTTTAAATTCCTTATCCATAATGAGAGAGCTCCCCCCCAAATCTCCGTTATTCCGATGGTGTCAGCTGATTTCCAGCTAGAGGATGATAAATTTATAAATATAGGCAGTATTATGATATAAACGATACCAATAGTTTAAACCTAATCAAGGCATCTAAATTTATTAATGGCAGGCTTATTTTGATCTGTCATTTAGCAAAATCATCGGTTCAAAAAAAAAGTCTCCAAACTTTTCCATTTTTCTTTTTCCCCCTTCCGACGCAATACCGCTTGGTTTCCCTGAAAATCAAGATGCGGTTCAACTTTTGAAGTGACATTATGCAGTTTACTTGCAATGCGCATGACGGTACATAAACTTTTTTTTTAAATACCAAGAATAAAAAACGGTTGACATATATATCTGGTACCAAAAAGGAATTCTTTATCTTTGTTGCAGCAGCAGTATTGACATTCCTCCTCGAGAGACATTCTGTTAATAAAGGTGCATACCAGGAGCATGCAATATGAACCAGTTACGATCAAAACAGACTCATATTGCATATTCTCGGTATGCCCTTTTATTAAAGGGCATACCGCACCCGAGAAGCAGTTTCCCGCCCGCTTCTCGAATGCAACATTTTCCAATTCTTCTTGAGCGACTTCGTTGACGGGCCCAACGCCCGCGGCACACGGATTGAGAACCGTTGAAATAAATTAGCTTATCGTTTCCAAATCCAACGCGGCAACTTTTTAAAATGATTTATTTTAAAAGAGATACACCTGAAGGATCGCGGGCCGAAACAATAAGTCCAGAGCGAAAGAAAGTAGGTTCAGCATCTTCCTTTCCCTGCATCCACTTCCTCCGCGATCTCAGACCCCCCCACCCCCACCCCCACCCCCACCCCCACCCCCGCACCCGATGGAACACTGAGGACCTCGGCTCGCTCTCATGACCTTTCTCCTCGGAGGCTGGATCTGCGTCTCTGTCGGCCCGGCAACGTCAAATGAGCGAAACCGTGCACGTCGACGACATCATTCGGCAGCTGGTCTCCCTCCGCAAGCGTTCTCCTTCCTCGGCGCAAAAAACGGTGATCGCGAGTTCGGACCCCATTCGTCCTAATTTACGATTTTTTTTTTCCAATTTGCTTCAGCAACATTTCAGACATACCGCAAAGTTAGGTTATAAGTAGGTCACGTGACGAGCCGAGTTACTCCTTACCGCAACAGCAAGCGACACCAGAAGCGACACTGCTCGCCCTGAACCAGGCAGCGCGGGAACTGCTGCTGGGCCAGCCCATGCTCCTGGAGCTGGCCGCTCCCGTCAACGTGGTCGGGGATGTCCACGGGCAGTTTCACGACCTCCTAAGGCATTTCGACTATCTGGGGTATCCGCCGGCTGCGAATTATCTCTTCTTGGGGGACTACGTGGATAGGTGAGGGGTTGGGTGGATCCGGGAAAAAAAACTGGGGCCTGAGCGTTTTTTACGCCCAGACCCCCAAATAAAAATAAAAATTTAATTTTTTTAATATTTCAAATGTATATAAATTAAAATATTAAAATTAGAAAAATGATAAAATACGAAAATGTCAAGTTTAAGATGTCGGAATTCAGTCGTCTCCTCTTAGGGGAATGATGTCCGTGGAGACCATCAGCCTGGTCCTTGCCTACAAAGTGAAATACCCCCGGAACTTCTTCCTCCTCCGGGGGAACCACGAATGCGCCGCGATTAACAGGTGACACGCCTCGCCCGGCCGCCGCCGCCGCGACTGCGAACGAATCCTGCATGATGCGAATGTGCTCCTAGGATTTACGGGTTTTACGACGAGTGCAAGAGGAAATACTCGGTGAAGCTGTGGAAATCCTTCACGGATACGTTCAACTGTTTACCGATCGGTCGGTCGGATTCAAAATCATTTTGGAAATCTCTTAACATTTAAAAAATTGAAATTCGCTATTCGCTATCAATTTAAATTTGCAGCGGCCATCGTCGAGGGTTCTATCTTCTGCACGCACGGCGGTCTGTCTCCTGAGCTCAAGAAAATGGAGCAGGTGTCGTCTCGAGAAAAGATTGCTCGAGTGCTGCGAATAAATTAATCAGTGGAATTTCTTTCCTGACGCTTTTTGAAGGTCCGGCGGACGAGTCGGCCGACCGACATCCCAGACAGGGGACTGGTGTGCGACCTTGTTTGGTCGGACCCGGGTCAGGTGAGGGAGACTGTATTTTGGGAAAAATCTGGGTCAAATATATATTTTTTTTTTCGTTCCTGTCTGGGCTTTGAAGGGGGTGGACGGATGGATTCCTAACGACAGAGGCGTGAGCTGGATATTCGGACGAGACATCGTCAAGAAATTCCTGGACGAACAGGTGAGTCCCCAACGAAGCGAACGTTATTTACGTCACTAACGCGGGACGAGGCTTTCGCTCCACGAGAAGGGCCGTTGCGTCGGATACAACGACTGCTTTCGGTGTTTGACGAAGGCATGCGACGATAGAAATGTTTGCATGCGAACGTGTGAGGGCGAGAGAAAGGAAATTAGCAGAAGTTTGCCGATCTGTCGAAAATGGCTGGCGAAGAGTCTCTGCATCGGTCTCCTCTGGACACAATACCGCTCCCTTACATCGATCCATCGCCGCTCTCATACTCGACGTATGCCCTATTTTAAACGTCAGTTCGCAGAAAGAAGGTCCGTTTTTTCAACGGTGCCGCCAAACTTTTTTTTTTCTAATGGTTGTGCTTCCTAGCTATTCCTTTCTTCACGTCACACCGCCGATGATGGCACCCAAACCGTGTCCTAGTACATGTAGTACACGACGGTACATTTCTGTAACTTTCCAGGGGCTGAGCTTGATCGTCAGAGGACACCAAGTGGTCGAGGACGGCTACGAGTTCTTCGCCAATCGGGCCTTGGTCACCGTCTTCTCCGCTCCGAACTACTGCGGGGAATTCGACAACGCCGGAGCCACCATGAGCATATCGGAAAACCTCATTTGCTCCTTCAGCATACTCAAGGTGAGTGTCCTTCGCACTCGATGCGTGCATCAAATGAGACGGTCAAGATTCAGGATGAAGTTTTGACAAAGATACAGAACGGAAATTTCAAGAAATCCTCCTTCCCAATCTTGTAGCGTAACGAGACAAAATGCAAAGGGAGGGAAAGGAATGGGCGATGTCAGTTCATTCTCTAAAGCAGTTTTTTTTTTTCATGCATTCAAAATTTTACGTCAGAGAGCTGCTGAGACAGACTGATTGGGGAAACACCATTTTCCGTAGGCAATGTGAGACAGAGAACTTGGACGAGAAGGAAGAACAAAAAAAAAAGAAATTGAAAGGGCTCTAGTCTCGGAACCAGTTGTCCTCTTGTCAGTGAACAATAATAAAAAAGTCCTGCATCTCCTGTCGTGAGGCAGTCTTTTCCATGTCCATCATGCTTTCTTCCTTCTTCTCGGTACTCAGAAAATCAGAAAGCTTTTTCTTCCCCCCCCCCCCCCATTTAAGATTAAAAAATGGAAACTCCTTTGAATCATGCGCACAATGAGTCTTTGAGGTAGTGTTTTTCAAATGAATTCGTACCACCTTTAACATTGCGCATTGTAATTTAATGGCATGGTAACTCTAATGCGGTGGCAGAGGAGGTTCAACTATTGTTTCCATTCCGAAGGATAGATGTCTCCCTCCCTCTTCAGAGAGCCACATCGCATCAGTCGGTTATTTTTGGGGGGAGTTGCCGTGCAGCAGAGATGACGTTGCGTGGCCCATGTGAAAGGATATAAAAGTCGTTGAGACACAGGATCGTTGCCATGCACCAGGTTGGGCAGACGTACACTCTGATATCCCGAGCCCTTGATGTCAAGTACTAGATCGACGTACTTCAAGTCTATGTTGGGCTGTGTATTTGAAGATAGCTATGGCCATCGACATTCCTGTTTTGTTTTGTTTGTTTTTTTTCCTATTTAGCGGAATGCCTGACAATCTGTAGGTACGATAGAATACGTGAACTAAAGCCTGAGTCATTGGGTGAGTTCAAATTCGGGTTGGTGTTCTGAGTAACAAGAACTCCACCCCTTAACACCAGATTTGAACTCACCCTGTGGTGTTGGTGTAACACCATGATTTCTCGATGTTTCACGCCGGTGTAACACCAGGTTAAACACGAAATGTCACCTCAAACCCGGTTCGGTGTTTGTGTGAAGGGGGTTCCCTATACTTCATTATGGGGTGTTTCACTAATCCCTAGGGGTTAACACCAGAGCGAGTTCATAAGTGGTGCTAGTAGCATAAGTGACTGGCAGTACGTTGAGACAAGAATTGTGCGGAGTTTTTAGAGAGATAAAAGGAAATCGGGTCGAGACATCGCGAACACGCACACGTTATGTACTTGATAACATGTGCCTCCGCGAAAGTGCCATCATAAATGAACTTTACTACCAGACGAAAATTTGGGTGTGTCTTTCGCTCCTGGAATCCCTGGCAAAAGAAAATAGAGAATGTCTCCAATGTGGTAACGACATTTCAGCTACTTCTAGATCGAAGTCTCTGAACAATGATACAGGGACTGAAAACATCGCTGCATTCTATCAGAAGTTTCCAACTCCAATAACAAATGCTTTCCACTCATAAAGTTGTCCATCATAAGATCCAATTATTACCGCGAAACAGCCAAGAAGGTATGGGAGACAGTATTCAGCGTACCAACATAGACCTAACGAGAAGATATAGGCGTAAAGTTGTCTTAATTCATTCGCAATCGCAATTCATGAGTCTGCCGTTGATCGCTAGCTGCGCTATGCCTAACCCTTTTTTTTAAAGATTTATTTAAGATTTTAAAATAAGCCTTGAACCTGAGAAAAAAAATGAAAGCAGCACAAAGATGACGTCGTTATCCTGGGTTCCATGTATCGGCGTTGGTGTTAACGTTCGTGTCAGTGTAGGTGTTGGTGTTCACACCGAAGTTGGTGTAAGAAGCCTCTCGACAGATAACATCAACACCCGATTTGAACTCACTCATTGTTCCATAGCAGTCTTTTCCTTGTATTTGGCATTTGTATACTTCCTGCCTTCAACGAATACTTAATTGTTTCTCTTGAAATTTCCCTGGTGCAATTTCTCATTCCATTTCTTCCTGGAAATATTTTTCTTGTAAATTCTTTGTTATTCCGATCCACCACTTTCCTCGAACAAGTAAAAGAAAAAAAATATATATCCTTTACACTTTATTCTTGGCTCCTTCTTTCGTTCCCAACCAAAGCGTTCTCCAATCCATCGTATTTCACTTTACATACTTTGGATATCGCCCGGGCGCCGCGACAAAAGCGACCCCGTCTAGGTTGGGAGGATTCCTCCATAGAAAAGTATGGACCCCATGTTATGGTGGTAAGAATTCATTTGCAAAACACTGTACAAGAAAAGAAGGAAAATCATACAATGCCCCTTCATTAGGTCTATCTTGCTGTTATCACACTTGGTGAAAATTTCCAGCAGTAAGTTTAAAGTGCCAGTCTACATACTAGCCCTTTGCTGAGGATGGCTCCTGAATCTGCCCTTGCATTGACTGGGATTCAACTTGATACTCCATAGGAGTTCAGATTATCTGAATTTTGACAACCTGTTGGTCAGCCTTGTCTCAGTGCAAACACAGCTCAACCTCATCATCACAAAATGTCGGTCCTTTGTTCCAATGTAAATGTCCCTAACAAATTTATGCACGCATCTGAGTATATTTCAGGTTGTGATACCCAAGGACAACTTGCAGAGCTTGTCGGGGCTCAATGGAGCTCTTAACGAGCCAGCCAATGCTCCTAGAACTGAATTCCTCATTGAACGTGCTTGGGGATTTTCACAACCAGTTCCATGACCTCCTGTCACTTAGATTACCTTGGCTATTTTCCATCCGTCAATAACCTCTTCCTGGGGGATTGCATTGACAGGCAAGTAAAACTCTGAACCTGGATAGGATTTTCAGTATTATTTCCCCCTGGTCTTCCTTTAACCCTTTTGGTACTATGAACGCAAGATACATTCAGGATATACTGACTGGACCATGCTTACTTGTCCAAGAATACCAGGTGCTGAAGCGTTACTGAGGTAAGTGAAACTTACAGGAGTTTATTATTCCAGTTTTCCCAAGTCTATTGAATTAAAGGCTAATTTTTACTTTTATGCAAACCATGCACATTGCAAACAAAAACCTTCACCTGGGAAGGAGAGTGCTATGATTTAACTCAGTATTGAAAGGGTTAAAATATTAATTCCCCAATAAATTTTGCATCCTTAGGGGGAACCATGAAAGTGCTCCTATCAATAGGTGAGGGAGTTAGAGTCTTATGATTTTTAGAAGGCAATTGACAAAACTGACAGTTTAGTTATTCCACCATCCTTAGGCTATATGGATTGTATCATGAAATAAAATGAGAAATAAGAATATTCTGTGAAGCTTTGGAAGATTTTCATAGATGTTTTCAATGAACTGCCAGCTAGTCAGTGCCAAAGTGGCACACCATGAAGTAAAATGAAACCATAAGCTAATCCATCTTTAGTCTAAATTCTATTATAAAAATTTTCTTGAGGATATATAGTGCAATATATATATGTAGTTGATATAGAGTGGCATGATGCCTTAGCTCCCCCTTCATCAATTGTGCACACAAGTAATGGTCCTTACTATATGAAAGCCCATCTTACTCTAAAGTTAATTGGAGCGTTGTGGCTGTGTTAATGCCACCAGACAGTGAAAAGCAACAATAATTTGTTTTTGTATCAGCACTACTTTCACAAAGAGAGAAATGCATGAACTGCATAAGCCAGGGGTACCAAACTGGTGACCTGTCCACTTTTTCTGACCTGCAAAGTCCTCCTCAACAGTTGGTTACAGAAAGGTACTGCAAATTTCAGCCTGTTTGCATTTAGGATTAAGTGTTAGATTTTTATTGTAGCCCCTAATCACCCCTGAAGGCTTCCATCCAGCCCCCAGCCTAATGGAATTTGACACCGCTGGCATAACCTAGAGTTGCTTGGGTGCAACGATGAAGGTTGACCTTGTCAAAACATTATTGAAATAGGTCTATTGTGGATTGTGTGTCTCTCAGCTTCAAGCCATCATCCAGGCACACACTATGTTGAGATTTACGAGGAAATGTAGAACTGTATACTTCATTCAGAAATAAAGTTTGCTTTGTTTAATCAGTGTACAGTTCTGCTCCAAAGATGCCTAAGATTTCATGGTATCCTTTATATTGTGTGCTTCTTTGACATAGAACAAAATACACGGTTGTTATAAAGCCCTGGAGGGGTTTAAATGACCAATAACTTTTTAATTATTCCAGATAACACAAAAAGTCAAACTTCAACATCTTCTCCATACTGGGCAATGCAGTGTTTGATTCAATTCAGTAAGGATTGGAAAACATTTTCAATTCCTTGCTGTATGATTTGATGCACCACAATTTCTATACATGCTTTCAGTTCTGTCAATTCTTGAAGATATAAGGCATAAATGATGCTCTTGACATGACTTAAAAGTCTAAGGAGGCCAAAATCAGGACCTCCCAATTTTGGCTCCAAACTACATTCAGGTGCCATGATGTGCAAGTCAGAGACACTGACCTGCTCCTTCAACATACTTAAACAATACCGATATTTCCTCTTTTACTACTTGCAATCAAATTTTATTCCAACTGGGGAATACACAGATCTCACAGCTCAAACCAACACAGTACCTGACCACAGCATGAAATACTACTATGATAAAAAATTTCAAATCTTGGGGACTTTGGGTTCAGGATAGTCTGGCCACTTGAAATTTGGGTTGGGATGGAGCACTGGTTCAGCTCTTGGATCATCAGGACGATATACTGGAATGAGCAAGATTTCAGAAAAAAAAAAGATAATTTAGCATATTCCATGTCCTTTTCTTAAAATATTTTCATTCAAGAAAGCATTTGATTAATTAACTAACCTGTGTATTGCATCTTGTATCTCTTGCATTTCATGGGCTCATTCGGGTAATGTATGATGACCTGGCTCCAGCAATATATCAGTGCTGTAAGTTAGGTATTATCATGCAATAGCTGAATGGAAAAGAAGTCCATTAAGTTTATCATCGTTACATTACCAGAGGCTCCTGATAAGTTTACTTATATTTAGCAATTCCCTTTTTCAAAAAAGGCATAATTTTGAGAATACCTTGCATGGGAGAGCAGCCCTGACCATACAGATCAGTTCCAGGTATCAGTATTTTGAGATAAGGCAATATCTTGACAGCTTATATTGGGCTAATTTTTATAAGAATTTCACTTACAAGCTGTTCCCAAGGCCCCAGCAGCCATAACTTCTGGAATTGTGTCCCATCCCTTCCTGATGAGCTGGAAGACTGGAAACAAACAAGAAGAAAGAAATGAAGCAGGAATCATGATGGTTATGCTTTACACATCATCTCAACAAATTGGAAATTAGGATGATGGCCTGTCTTTGATTCCTCAACACAGTAACTCTAAGTGATCCAACACTTATCCCATCTTCACATCAGGCCAAGGAAACAAAGTTAATTTTTTATTTATGAATAACTTGGAAAACGTATTAAAGATTCCAACTATTTATAATAGTTTTGTTCTGCTTTTCATATCTTTGTGCACCCTTTTGACATTTCTTATTTTTTGGGGGTTGACTCAGAAAGATGGTGTATACCAGAGCTACTCAACTTCATCAGGCTTGTTGGCCATATCCTCCATAATGAATTGTACAGTTGATAATGTAATACTTAATAGATGTGCCAAAATTTATTTTCAGATTAATTTTTAAAATTGAACCATAGCAAGAGGTTGACAGTAACATGAAAGAAATGAGGCATTCAAATAGAGCAGAATTTGACCAGGGAACCATGAGAACTTAGAGAACACCCTAGAAAAACATATTTTCAGCACTGATCTTATATTTGAAAACATACTGAGAAGTGGCAGTTTCCTCCTGAAATCCTGCACACTCTATTTAAATAAATGAAAGCCACCAACAATATTCATAATACCCCTTCATTTACTTTTACTGAATTATGTACTTATTGTTTCAGGCGTTGTCGGCTGAAAACTTGAGAAAAACTGCCATTAAATTTTTCCACTCCCCACTGGCTGGAAGGGAAAAGCTGATTGGCAAAGCTTCCAAAAGTAGTCAGGCACAGGATGCTTCTGTGCCAGACTACTTTTGGAAAACTGTCCTGTCAGAAAAGCTCAATTAATCTATTGGCTTACCAAGCCATCGATCAATAACCTACACTGCTAGAGACAAGTGAACCAAAAACTGGTCAAATCTATGGGCACATGTGATGTGCTATGAGCTTTGTCAAGGTATAGTAGCAGTAATTGCTTGGAGGATAAGAAAAAGCTTACCATTATTACTCCCATGAAGGGTACACTCTTTAAAGGAAACTTTTTTCCCCAGCTAAAATCTAAGCAGCATGCAGAAAAGCTGCTGTGGCCTATGTATAACTATATCATAAAACCAGCATATGCTTCAAATAATATGTTTTATCAAATGTATAATCCTTCTTGACAGATGCATTAGTGATAAAAAAAAGGCAATGGTCAACACTACATGAAATCATGCAGCTAAACAAATTTTTTAAATATCAAAATTAAACATTCATCTCAAGAATAATCCTACTAGTTCTCTCACCAACAAGTAAGATAATGGAATAAACTATATGAAACTACAGGCATCAGCATTTGCATAAATGTGATGACCACAAGTCACACTTTCATCACTTTTTAACTTAAAAAAAAAAGAGATACAGCAGAAACCTTAGCAGGGTCAGCCTTATGCACATGCCACATATGCCCCACAGGAGGGTGGCAAATTCACCAGGGGTGCCAAAACATGACTAAATGCATGATGCAATATTGGATGCCATCCTCAGTTTTACTTCAGAAAGGAGAAATGCCTTGTTTTGTCCTCATTTTGAATACTATGGATACTAGGGATTGACCCTTCGCCGAGAAGGGAAACGAGAAGAGAAATTCTTAAATCTGATCCCTGGCAGTCTCATGGGAAGGATCAGTCTTTACCAATTAGCCTATCACACCTCTTTCGTCCGTGATGGGCCAAGTCTGTATGCATAAACTTTGCATAGGCCTAAGCCTAGGTCTAACACAAACCCTGTTGCTTATCATGGGGAGGAATGCCAAGGCTTGACAACTGTGATCGTTTAAGCTAGGCCTTCGTTTGCAAAGTACAAATGGAAGAAACTCACGTCCAATATTCTTTATCTGCTGCCTAAACGGTGTCGACAGCATCTTCAACTATTCGATGGAAACCTTTGCTCACTGTAGAACTGTCAATGAAGTTAAATGGTGCTCACGTCAACTTCAGTGTTCCGCTAGGGTTTGCATTGCATGGTACACCAATGCTGTACAGTCGGCGGCCATGAGGCGCTCGTGACGCAGTCGCAGAGGAAAGGCTTTCGTTCTACCTTTTCGTCTGCGAAGGTCACCGTCTGGTAACGATTATTCACCTATTTTTCAGCTGATTATGACACTTTTTCTGATAACTCTGTGATCCATGCATTGATACAGCTGTCAATTGAAATAGTACATAATTCAGGTGATAAAATGTGTCATGCGACACATGAATCCGTTTAATGTGAGCTTAGTAGAAACTCATTTGTTCTCTGTTCCCCATCAAGAAAGTCTACTTATTTGAACAATCTAGTTATTTGAAGTCCCTCGTTTGAAAATGAGGGACTTTCCTCAAATAAAGTTCCGTAATCCAAGTGTGAGCATAAAAAAACTTAAAAGGGGCTCATGCAAAAAGATGGAGAAAAATAAATCCAAATCCTTCGGTCGGTCAGTCTTGGTAAGAGAAGTGATGGTGAATTGAACTTGTTTTTATACCGTCGCGCATGAAAAGTCATCCGGAAGGAGTCAACATCAAAATTGATGAGAAAGTTGAAGCATCCAAATGATTTCAAAACAAATGTTTATATTGAGGAAATTGACAGAGGAGGGGAAACAAGTTATGGGATTTTTTGTGTTAGTTTTGTTTTTTTTTTGGTTTTGGTTTATTCACCTAGATCAGCAAATCTCTATGCTAACCTATTGTGTTCATTGGCTCCCATGTAACCTTCATCTCACAGAAAAGCCTAATAAAATTCGTGCTCGAACTCGATACTTTGGTCAAGTCGGTCTTCAAGAGATACTGGATGTTGCATCTCAAGGAAACAAGCCAATTGGAAAGTTGAAGGAGAAGAGAAAGAAGAGAATAAAGCCCAGAAGCCAAGCAAATATACGAACGGGTTCATCTCATCATTTCTTTTCATATATCATTTCTGTATGCAAACCCCCACGCCTAATATTGATATAAGGAGGAATTCCACAAGCACTAGCCTTTTCTTTGTCATATTACGAACTGACATACAAGCCAACAGATAATGCAGGGCATTTGCCCCTGCCAAAGTAAACCCTGCTAAGATCAGCAAAAATTCGTTTCTACGAAAAGTTTAAGGCAATCCGAATATACTCCGAACATGGGCCTATCCAAAGCCTACATTCTGCGAATTTAAATCCCTCGTCAATGACAGCCTAACTACTATAAATCTCACCCCAAACTTGCCTCCCCAAGGACACCCTCGCAAAACGCTTCTAGAGACCGATCATTTATTTAAGCCGATTTGATGGACTCATTGAGCTTATTGTTCCACCCCACTTACCCATATGAGCTCCAGGTCCCCCTTTTGCTCTCACTCGATAAGGATTTAAGGACTTAGGGGGAGCCCTCGCCTTGCGACCGACTGAAATTACCCGGTTTTCCCCGAGGAAATTCGGCTCTTAAAATTTTCATCTGACAGCAGCCGAACAGACGATGGCGCAGCCAGAAAATTGGAAAGGCGATAAGAGCTCGAGGGCCAGACAAACTACCAAGCGGTATTTGATGCCGAGACGAGCTTGACGCTCGAGGGTTTTGGGGTGCGGCGGGGTATCGTGCCTCATCCTTCATCATGCTCCCCTAATATTATTTTTTTACTTGACTGCCCAAGAGCCTCTCTCCCCCTTTAGTTGCGCCCCCGTGAAAGGGGGACAACCTTGTTGCCCTTTGACTTTTCGCACATTTGTCTTAATACGCTACGTTATTATGGAGGGGGGAAAGGGGGCATGTCGGCGAGGGGGGAGGGGGCCACCAGTTCATTGAACCAGTTGACCAGCGTAAATCCATTCCTGCTCTCCACTTCAAAATAGCGAAACCTACCTATCACTTGCCAGTCGGATACACATATTGTTATTCCGCTGTTAAACCGGATTGTTTTTACGGAATCTGAAACCGAGGTCGCAACAGAACGAGCATCTTCCATTTTATAATTATGGGGTGCAGGAGGCATTTACATTATTGCCTCCTTTAAGTCGCCACGAATTCGTTAGAGTCAAATGACATAGGTTGTAAAGCGGTGAAAGAGAACATTTCTGTTAGTATTGGCTTCAATAATATGGCATGGTGGGTGTATTTACCGAAGTTCTTCATTAAAAGTTGGGTAAATTTCTTCAGGTAATATTTCGGAAGCTGCTCCGAGTCTCATACCCTTGCATCATTATCTATTGACCGAGGAGCTTCTCGAACACGACCGAAGTTGGAAATGGGAGTGAAGCCAAAACAGAATGAAACGGGACAGATGCTCTAACATCATCGATAGCCTACTTTTTTTTGCTATTTTCCGCTTTCGGGATCGTCATATTCTGCGATTTTAAGGCTTCAGATGCGAAACTCCTTTTATTTTTAAAGAGATATAGTCACGTTGGCTTGCTAACCGTTGGAATCACAACCGTTGGAACCACAAACTGATTCATACTGTTAGGTAGCTTTGCGTGGCCTTGCTGGCTTGGCTATGCAGGTGGGCGGAGGGGGGGGGGGGGGGGGGGAGGAAAAAATCTCTTTTTAGGGAGGCAACTCCCCCCCCCCCCCCCCCCACTGACTGGCTGCCTGACAAGAATTGCGATCACACTGATTATATCATCGATGACGTCACCCGCAGCAACTTACGTGACGAGTTCACCTGCTGACAGCAATGTGCATGTCAGATTTATTTCCTGAGATGCATGGATAAGCAATTTAATACTTTTGCTCGCCCTGTTGCGTTATGGAAATAAGAACTACTGTAAAAGTACTTCAACAATAGGAAAACGATGCAGGTGGCTTGAAACTTCACCCTTTGACCTATGCGTTCCCATGGCATTTCACTCCGCGGCTCTCTCATCATTAAATGGCCGAAGCGACGAAAGAAGTACCGTGGGGTCGGTCTATAGGTCGTTGTAATTGCCCTTTTAGTCCCATCGTGTGGAAGCGAAGAAACAATAGCAGAACCGTTCCTTAAAGGTGAGCTTTCTGTTCACGAGATCAACTAACCATGTCTCTATGACTTGATGGTACTTGACTCGAGAGCGAAATGGCATCTCTCCTAACATCCCAACGGTCTATTGTAGTTGAAATCCTTTCAGCATTGATTAACCGGTAAAGAGCGGCACGGTTGAGGGCTAACCGGTAAGTGGTCTCGAAGCGAATTATATTTAAAAAGGAATTCTATTCAAAGGGAATTTTGACGTCCAGTGAACACAAATGCTTATCTGAGTCCTATTAGGAGTTTCATCCTAGGTTTTGCATTTTGTTAGTTGCCGCGACACGGCATAGATGACGCAGGGAAGCCGATGGATCGTGGCGCTAACTGATGAGAATCGGTGTATGGGGTGGGTTTCCATGACAGTTCTGTTTGCACAGCACGGTGGCAGGATACCTGCCACCTTTGGGAGATTTTTATCGCTCGTGCTGTTATTCGGCGCGTATCGAAGCGATTTGCCGTCTTGATCGTTCTTGGATATCTCCTCCTTCGCGACATGCGATCTGTCGCAGATGAAATATCGGCTACCAGCTGTCGTCGGCTATCATCGGTGCGATCTGTCGGGGCAGGCTTTACGGTATATATCGAATGATTCCCATCAAATTCATTTTTTTTTTGGCGACGGATTCCTGGAACCCTTACGAGCAGATACTGAGACATCGCTGTCAACCTTATCGCGAAGATGTCAAGTTTTTTCGCTTGGGAGTTGAGACTTTGCTGGACACTTCTCATGGAGATATGGAAAGGTTTCTAACTCAAACGAAGACACTGCATGAAGACCTCAATTTTTGCATAAAAATTGCACATATGGACCAGAAACGTTAAATAGACGGAATTGAAGTTCTCCGCAACGCTGCAGCAAACTTTCAATTGGAAACAAGGGGGGAATTTTCCCAAAAGGAAATAACAACATCCTAATTCGAACATTCTGCTCAAGTTGAAGGTAAGATTTGCCAATTGGCGAGCTCTTTTGTGCATTTTGAGCACGTAAGCTCAAAAAGCTTTGGCGGGTATTCGTTTTGGGAATGCTTATGGGCAACAAAGCCTTTCCAAAACTGGGGGAAATTCCCTGTTCGATGGTTTTGGCTCATCGGAGCCACGTCTCTGGGGCTTTTCCCCTCCAAGGAATGCTCATTGCGGTCATGCGCTTAATTTTATCCGAAATTGATTGGGGAGGGAGGGGCGAGGCCTCCGTTTTTCCGAGGCGACGAAGGAGAAGGCATTTCCGTCTCCCTACCCATTCCGAATGAAACGCGATTATCTCCTCGGCAGGGAATAACGAGGCGTCGGATCGCGCTGCACAAATATTCTGGGGAAAGGAGGAATATAATGAAGCCGACGGATTATGTTTGGCCCATTTCCTTTCCGGGAGGAGAAAGATGGATTCGGGCGGGTGCGTGTATGTACATCGGTGTGTGCGCGTCATCATCAATCCTCCTTCTCATATAATATGACACAAGGGATCCGGGCCGAGGGCCTTAAGTACCTGCATTTGAGACTTATGGCCTGGCATGACATCTTTCCCGAGTGGAGTGGAGCCGAGCACTTCCCCCGAAATTGGATGAGACTTTTACCGAAACTGCCTCCGTATGATAATTCATCCACATACCAGTTCCCAGGAACACCATATAAAAGGAGACACATTTCCATTTTCAGAAGAAAACGAGAGCTGGGATGAATTCGCACAGAAAATCTCGAGACGGGGAGAAATTCTCCTCCGAGGAGGAAAAAGCTGCCCTATAAATGGATCTGGAGAGCAATTAATCCTCCCCTCTCGTATAATGGCGATTCCTTTTTTTATTTTTTTTTTCGTCGCTCTTTCTCTCTTCGTCGAGCAGAATATATATCAGAAGGTTGACAAATAGTAGAATCTGGGGGGCCATTACTCGTCGGGAGTTGCATGCAAAGCTCATTTTTCAGGACAAACCCCCCAAAAAAGACAAGAAAAGAAAGGACTCCACTTTCTCTCTCTTCCTTCGCATAGATTGATGGAATCCCCAAATCCCGGTAGAACATCCTCTTCGGATCGAACCTCCATTACATCCCCAGATCCTTCTCCTCGGTGAACTTAATAGGAAGGAGATTTCATCTTGGTCTTGTCCCCCCTGCCCTCTGCGTCCAGTGGAGGATGGCAGGTGAATGGCCCTACAGGGACTCGGCGAGAAAACGATCGAGCCCGGCGTTTATTCCCGAGGGGAAGCCGTTCGGGGAAAGGGGAGTCCCAGGGCACATACCGCTCGTTCCTGTCTTCGCGAGCATAAAAACCGCGGCCGATGCAGCCCATTCCCGGGGTAACCAAGCGACCAAATTGAGCATTCCTCAGGGATATGGGATTACTGGGGGACTTACATGTTCCTGGGTTGCAGGTCTGATGTCTTCATCAGAGGTGTGGGATTATAGGGGGTTCGGGTTACTTGGGGTGAGATGAGGTTACAGGTGGTGAGGTTTAGATGGGGTTACATCCGAGATGAAAGCTTGGCATCAGGACCCAAGGCCGCAGAGCCTCCCACACTTGACTCATCATGTGATGTGATACGTTGAAAAACATTTGTTCGTACGTGCAAGGACATTTTTGAAAGGATGGCACCACATTTTAAGAATGATTATTTTGGGATGTAAAAGGGAACGAATAACACATTCTAGGAACATGAAGGTGGGAAGAGATAAGGGGAAGGAAAGGATGCGAGACAAAAGAGGGCTTTCAAGATGAGGCGACGGGGGAGTCGATATTTGCATTCGGGCTCGAAAAGCGGAAATTAGAGTTGTCTCGAATGAAAGCAGAGCAAGGTGGGAGAAGGAGCAAGGATGAAAAGGAAAGAGTCAACAGAGTAAGAGCCCTTGCTTCGAAGTACTGCGTTGCAGGGGATTTTCGTCTCGTATTAATTTTCGCGAGGCTGTCCTCGCCGTCGCGGAAGATTCATGGATTACGCGAACTCATCAATTCTGATGAGAAATTCTGCCTCAGGATTCAAACCAAGTCCCCGATTGGAAGGCCTGGAAAGACCTCGAACGAATCGCAAGGTTCGGTGCATCGCGAATTTCCCCCCATTTACACCGTACGTCAAGCCCGTACTATCACAACCCTTTCGCCGATTCGCGGGGAATGTTTCCGCGATCGATTCGGGAAATCACGGCTCGGTGCTTCCTCTCTCGTTCCCTCTCTTCCTTCCGGCATGTTCCATTAAAATAATCTCCTGGGGATTCCCAGGCTCTTTATTTTTTCACGAGGTTGTGACATCCGTTGATGAACGACACTCGATCCAGATGAGACGAGGACAGCGCATCGCAGCGGAACATCACTTTACAATATCAAATTTCATAACGTGATTC